CTTAAAGAAAAAAGAAGAATGAACTCTTTCTTGGTAATCAGATAGCACGTAGGTACAGGTAACTTTAGGTTTTCAGGGGGTGGGGCACTGCGGCTAGGAGGTGGGGGTTGCCTTCTTATGTGCAGGCAGCGTTTAATGAAGGCAGGCTGGTTCCATGGAAGGCCCAGCTAAAGCTCGGCCCAAACGGGCTGGTTTCCTTGGGAAGTCACTGCAGCTCTCCTGGCCTCAGTTTCCTTTCCTATTTAAAAGGACGTGGTGAGCATGTCGGAATAGGACATTTTCTTCCATCTTCAGAGTTGGAAGATTCATTCTACAGTGTCTGAGATTTCTTTTCCCGAGCCCTTGAATTACTTCCTATGAAACTTGAGCAAAACGTAACTGTTTAATGGTAAGCTGAAAAACTACGTTTACAGCGTCTCTTTAGTAAGAGATGCCCAGGTTTGGGGGCACGTGGCTGACTCCGTCAGTAGAGCGTGTGACTCTTGATGGGGAGGTTGTGAGTTTGAACCCCATGTTGAAACCCACATTGGGTGTAGGGATTGTAAATAAACTTAAAAAGAAAAAGAGGGCCTCCCGGGTGGCTCAGTTGTTAAACGTCTGCCTTCAGCTCAGGTATGATCCCAGTTGGGATCGAGCCCCGCATTGGGCTCCCTGCTCAGCAGGGAGCCTGCTGTCCCTCTCCCACTCCCCCTGCTTGTGTTCCCTCTCTCGCTGTGTTTCTCTCTGTCAAATAAATAAATAAAATCTTGAAAAAAAGAGATAATCATATTTTATTTATACATGTATACATCACACATACTTTAGTGTATATGTGATTTTATTATACTAACTTTATCATTTATTATGCTAACTTATATTACATTAATGTATTCTTTGGTGGGTGCTGATCTTGTTTTGTTGTTATAGTTCATAGAAGGAAAACCTGAAAATATTGAAAGTTAAGCAAAAAGATAGGGCAACAGGCCCTAGGGAGTTCTACATTTTGCCAGCTGGCTCACTTTGGGGACAGTTTCCACATAGTGCTCTATTTTAATACAGTGCGTCATCTGTGGAGGGACTGATTTCTTCATTGTGTGCTCAGTGGGAGCTCAGAACTATCTAGAGATTCTCTGAAATCTGAAAAAATATTTGAAAAAATACTCTTAAAACTTTGCTAACATACAGCTGGGAGCTTGGCATGTTTGGTTTTGGTGGCTAGCACAGTCTCTCTGTCCTTGGGGTTACACGTTTCTGTCTTTCCTTCCCGTCCGTGCACACCACACTGCGTGGGGTTGGATATCATCAGCATATTGCCTTGTGGGGATGGATGAACTTGGTTTTGTACAGCTAGGTAGCTACTCAGCCCTGTCTGCCTTATTCAAGAAGATCCTGCGTTCATAGGACAAGCTGTGAAAAAACAGGTGCGTTTGCAGCAGTCATCAGTCTGTGTCAGGACTGCCTGGTCACGTGCAGCCCAGGAGCCATTAGCAGGTCTGATGCTGCGATTGGCATCCCCGACCCCTGGTGTCAGGTTTTCAAGTTTGTCAAGACAGCTTTATTATTCCCAGTGATAGACTTTGTCGTAAGAATATATTATCAATTGAGCTTATAAAATAAATGAAATACTGCTTTGCTCCGCACAGGGGATCCATTTGGAAGAAGAGTTCTGCTGTTGAGAATGTTTGGAAACCACCAAGACAGTGAAAAGAGCAGATCTTATGGGCATACAGTTCTAGATTTGAGCCCATCTGCCATTGCTTGCTAACTAGATGGCCAAGGGCAAAGTAATTTGCTTCCTTAAGCCTTAGTGATGCCGTCTGTAAAGTGGGCCTGCTCTCTAGCAGGCGGGCTGGTTTTGAAGATGAGATGCAAATGGGCCTCGCCCAGTGCCTGACATGTAACAGAAAGTTGAGCATATGATAACCATTATAAAGCTGTTCATGCTGGGACCATATTTCATACGTGGTCATTATGAGCTAGCTTTTGACATGAGGGAAAGACATATGTCTCATTTTATTTGCATGCATTTGCATATTTGCTTATCTCCTAACATAGCACCCGTCTATCCTGGTGAATGCATTTTCCTCTAATTTAGAGATGTTTTAGCAGACTGGAGTGGCACGTTCTTTCTGATGCATCTTTGCAGCAAATTAATTTCCTTTGGAAAGTGTGTGAAGCCATAACAGAATCATTTATTGTACTTTGGTTTTTTTCTAGTAGGAAAAAAAAAAATCAAACAGGCTATGGGGAGCTGCTTTTTCGCCTTGGGCCTCCAAAGTGCTGCTTTATTTTTATGTACAAGCTCTTTGTGGGTGGACTGCAGAAATCCCTGCTCTCGGAAATGTTTCTGAGCCCTCTGGGAAACCGAACAGGGGGAAAAGAGCTAATTAAAAAAGCTTCCATCCGCCTCCTCTAATTAACTTGCTCTCTGCTCCTGGGAGAGGGAGCGGAAATGTGAACACAACGCAGGCATCACCGGAAGTGAGTGCCATTCCATGGTTCACGGTCCCCCGTGCTGTTCTGATGCAGAAACAGTTCATGGTCAACAGGCAAGGAGCCACAAAGGGGCTTGATGGGCCGTCTCCCTCCCAACAGGGCAGTGGTGAATGGCGGTCCCTTCCGAGCAGGTGCATGGGCCGGCAGCTGCAGCCTGGGAGGCCTCATTGGAATTCAGCAGCTCGGACCCAAGAGCATCCGGCTCTCCCTGTCGCTTGCTCGTGCTGAGGGAAAGAGCAGGGGTCCTTTGTGCTCTAAGGCTGTGCATCGCCAGGGCCCAGGGTTACAGAAGCCACGGGAGGAGCACGCAGCCTCTCACTCCGTGTCCCGGCTGCACGCCGGGGAAGCTCGCGGCGTCCGTGGCCGGCAGTGCGGCAAACTCCTTGCTGACATCTTGGACAGATTTAGATCCCAGAGATACAGCCAGAGAATCAGGGTGGGACTTTAGGGGACAGAGGCTATCCTTTGGCAGAGATGGCTTTTGCCTCCTGGCGGATGTGGCCCCTGGTGGAGTGGGCCCAGTGGATGTGGACAACAGTGACCAGCAGTGGAGAAGCCAGTCTGATGGCCCTTCAAGGAAGCTCTGGAAAGAGGCAAGTTGGCTCCGTGCGTCTTTGTCAGTGTTGCCCCTGACGCAAGCCGTGCTGGGGGCAGGGTGACAGCCGGGGCCCACCGGGGTGATCCAAACTCTTGGTTCTCTTTGCTCCTCGGTTGTGTAACTTCCTCGTGTTTTTCATGCCAGTGAATGGACCTTGCAAAACTCAGGTACCTTGATCTATTGTTGTCCAAGCGTGTATCTTCACTTTCCCTGGACAAAAGCTAAGGCCTTTGATATTAACGTATGTTTGTAAAAAGTCAGCGCCGGCTGTCCTGTGTGTGGTGGTTGAGTCTTTCCTCATGAAATCTGCTAGTGTGCAAGTTTCAGCTCCCTGGAGCCCATCAAAAGCTTCTTGGGTGTTTCTGTTCATCTCTTTGGGCCCTGGGAGGGCTTTGTGGTGGGTTGCAGGAGCCAGGATCCTTAAGGATGGGGTCTTTGGCACAGGTAAAATGAGTCACTAACAAGTCGTAAAAACATCAGTGTGTACATTCTTCTGAAGGAGAACTCCCCAAATGGCTGTTTCTTCCTGTGCTGGCTGACGGCGGAGGGATTGGCTTGCTTCCTGGCTGGCAGACGGTCTATAGAAGAGGCTGCCCTGGGCGGAGGTCACGAGTGCTTTGACCTTGTTGGGGGCTCAGCAGCTAGAGTGTTCCATGCTCCGTGCTCTCCTGGCTCGTGCACCTCTGGTTACACGTCTTCACCCGGATTTGCCAGCTGGGTCACGCGTGCCAGCAGCGGCCCTGAGTATCCGCTCTCTTGATAATGACCTTTTGCTTGTTGCAAATGAGCGAGTGGCATTTTAGTCTCTGTACGATGGCTTGAGTAGGGACTCCGCCCAGGGGACGCCACTCTGGCCACCTTGAGTGGGGTTGGTCCAGGACTGCGCCCCGCTGGGCATTTGAGCAAGGGAGGAGCTGCCCCGCGGCCTGAGGACGCAGGCCTGGCTCCATGATTTGGGGAAGTCTCATTCTTTCTGGCTTAAAATTGAACCCCCTGTAGAAGCAGGGTGCTGGAGAAGGGCTGTCCGCTCTGGGTTTTCCAGAGCCCAGGACACGGCTTTAGTTGGTTGAGGAGCCTCCCCCTTATTTCTGGGTGGGGTGGGTGTCCTGTGGGTGAAATTTTGGTCCAGTTCTCTGGATGAAGAATTTTCCTTGAGATCAGACCTTCGGGTAGAGTGGCAGTGGTTGTTATCGTATCATGGAGATCAGCAGGCTGTGTTTGTGTCTTGGTCCAGCACATCCTCCAGAGAGCTGGCTTGCCAGCTTGCTTTCATTCATTCATTCATTCATTCACTCACTCACTCATTCATTCAACAGATGTGTATTCACTGCTTCCTGGCTTAGGCTCAGAGAAGCTGTAATAGGTAAGGCTTGCCGCCCTCATGGCCTGGAAGCTCAGGAGATGAGAAAGATAATTAACACAATTAGGAGGTGACTAAATCTACAATAAGTTACGAGAAGCTCTGGGAAGGAAGGGTGGCAGGAGAGAATGATGGATGTGGAAAGGCCGTACGTGATTTCGTTTCACGGAGTGGGGACCCTATGATGTGTTGGAACCGTGGCAAAGAAATGTGTTTCTGGGACTGTCTGTTTGACCGACCGGGTGCCAGAGTTGATCAAAAGATTCCCCTGTTTGATTTTGTCACTGAGGCCAGAGATACGTATTTCTCATAGGGCTAAGTTCAAAGCATATGTCATTTGGGAACAAAGCTGGTGATAATGAGATTCGATCTTGTGAATCCTGCTGGGAAATGACTTTCCTCACATCTGTCTTCGAATAGCTTAATTGGGCAACCAGTCCGGTTCTAGGGGTCCCAGGCAGGGATCCGAGGGTCACATGGCCTCAGCAGCAGGGGCCCCTGGCCCCTCAGAGCCAACTCGGCCCAGACGCCTGCCTAACCCTGTTTCTCTCCTCCTCTCTCCATCAGGAGTTCTGACTCTGAAGAAGCATTTGAGACCCCCGAGTCAACGACTCCTGTCAAAGCTCCACCAGCCCCTCCCCCGCCGCCCCCTGAAGTCACTCCAGAACCTGAGGTCAGCGTGCAGCCCCCCCTGGAAGACCCAGGTAACCAAGGTCAGGTGCTCCCCTCGGGGAAGCCTGGGAGTAGCCCTGGGCTAGGGTAGCTGGAGGGGGGCTCCCTCTCTGCTCGGAGCTCGTTTTGTGAGTGAAAACTAAGAGTGAGCAGATCCCGCGATTATTCTGTCTGCTTTGAAGGTGTTTAGGGGGGACCTGAGGGAAACGCCTTCTTTAGCTCTGGGTACCGTTTACTTGGCATCCAGAATTGGGCTTAATGGGACAAGGGGGTCTGGGAGGTTTTTATTTGGGATTCTATCTTGGATTCTAATATGTGGCCCTTGGCTCCCATAAGAACACTGGTGCTTGACAGCCCACATGAATCTGCATTTTTATGAAAGACCATAGCCCCCCTGGGCTTGGGAATGGAGATACGTAGTAAATGGAAAAGAAGAGAAAGCCATAGATAGCCAAACCCATGCATGAATGGTTCATTTATTCCTCGTTAACCTCAAGTTACCTGATTTCATATCACTTTCCTGCCTCCTTTCTCCCCTAGTGAGACTTAAAACGTGGATCTTTCCGTACCTTTCAGTTGTGATTGCTGGAGATGCGAGGGGATGGGACAGATCTCATTCCCCAGACCCCGACCTGGCCAGGGTTTTGTGCCTGTATTCTCCAGCTACACCTCCAGTGTGAAAGTTTAACACGAGACCTGGAAGGAGATGGGGACGGCCAGAATTGGCCCAGCAGACTGGTCAGGGAGCTAGGCGGTACCATTCTTAGACCTGGACCACCTTCCTGCATTGGGTTGTGTGTTCTAGTGGACCCCACTCTGGCTTTCCTCCAGCCACAGTCCTCTCTCTGTGGTGAGGCTGTAGGGCCCATCTCCTCCTAAGCCACCCTCTGGACACTCTGGACACCCTTTCTCATGGTCCATCTTCCCAGGGCTGATTGTACCCATGTTTATACCTCTCAGACAAGGAGGAACCAAGGTGGGGTGTCCACACACCTGTGCTCCCACCCCAGGTAAGGGATAGAGCTGGGGTGGGAGGAGGAGGAAAAAGTTTATGGCTGGGCCTCCATTCATACTCTTGCCCTGGCCAGAAGCCTGGTGAACTGTAAAGTCAAATATTTTGACCTCAGTGTTGGTTTTACAAAGAAATGGGCAGAATTCTTTCTACCTGTCCTAGGTTCAGATGGGCTGTTACTTTAGAAAGGGTGGACACTTGGAGGCTGATTCTTTTTTTTTTTTAGATGCTCTTCATTTATTGTCAGAGAGACACAGCGAGAGAGGGAACACAAGTGGGGGGAGTGGGAGAGGGAGAAGCAGGCTTCCTGCCGAGCAGGGAGCCTGATGCGGGACTCTATCCCAGGACCCTGATGCGGGACTCTATCCCAGGACCCTGGGATCATGACCTGAGCTGAAGGGTGATGCTTAACAACTGGGCCACCCAGGCGACCCTCCTAACCAGATAGGCTCCCCAATCCTGGGGGAAAGGATTAGGACCATTTTGGGGGGGAGAGCAGGTGTCTTTGCTGGTGTCTGACAAATGCCGCTTTTATATTCTCCCATCTCTGATAACTCAGCTAGTAGTATCTGATTCTGCATGGCTAGTCTAGGGGCTGGGCCCTGAGAGAGGAATTGTTGCAATTTATTTGATTTTAAGGTAGAGGAGGAACCAGAAGGACTGCTGAGAGGGTTTTAACATTCCCATTTTTTCTTTCATATTATGAAGCATATGAAAATTCATTTCTTATAATACTATAAAAAAATCACCCTTAGGTTTAATGGAAAGGGAATGACAAATAGATCGTCATCCCTAGATCAAACACGTGATTGGAAATCAACCATCCTTTTTTTGTGGGTACAAGTTCATGCCCACAGATACGTGGGCTACTTTGTGAAAGAACTGAGAAGAAAATGATGGTGCGTTACAGCGTACGGTCCATTCTCCTGCACCAAGGGAAGGCCCATTTTGTGAGCCCATGTGCGACTTCTGGGATTTCCAGCCACGTATCCTGACAGCGTCTGGGGATGGTTTGCTGCTTCTGTTCTTGTCTGTGGTCTGTCCTTGTTCCTTCTGCCTGACTTGCGTTTCAACAAAGCAAAGAGTAGTTTCCACTCTTAAAAACAAATAGACGTGCAGCTCCCACCTCTTTCTTAGAGGGCAACTTCAGAACGAAATGAGCATTGCAGGGGATTAGGAGGAAACCCCCACCTGGAAGGGGTTGGGGCTGGTAATTGCCACGAGGCACAGCCCCACAGAACCTCGATTGCATTAGTGGGAGTCTTTGAACAGGGACTTTGTGCTTCTCCTTCTTGGAAAACTCCACTGAAGCTAAATATCCATGGCTTCCACAATCAGGACTCTTACAGTTGGGACCGTGACTGTGACCGTGACCGTGACCGTGACTGCTCAAAGTACCCCCCGCCCTGCCGCGGGCTTGGGCCGTGCAAAGAGCCATCTGATTCGCAGCCCTGGTTAGAAAAGTCTGCTCGTCCATCCTGCAGACAGTATGGGGCACAGCAGAGGCGTGAGCAGGCAGGTGTGCCCACTTCCAGAGGTGGTTAGAGGGGAAGAAAGGTTCTTTCCAAGAACCGCTGGGAGGAAAGGGCTCGGAGCATATCTGGTGTTTGGTTCTCTTCTGCAAAGCATCCGGTATTGCTAAAGGTGCTGAAAGAGCCACATGAACTAACAGACTAGACCCTTGGCTATGAATAAAGACATGATTTGCTCCCCTGGAAACCCACGTTGTCGGGAACAACCAGCCTCGCCTTGGGTCCAGCCAGCATGGTTTTGCCCCATGGGACAGGAGGATGGTGGGGGGTGGTGCTGGGTGTTCACCCGCGTCTGCCCTTCGTCTGGGCTGGGCTGGGTCAGGATGCAGCTTGTCTGGGCCTGATTTTGTCCTACCCGTAATATGAGGGCAGCCTGCCAGCCCTCTGAGGTCCTCCTTCCCTTTCTGACCTTCTCTGGTCCTGGGATGGCAACGTGCGGCTGCTGTCCGGTGGCCGTGTTCCTAGAGCGCAGAACTGGACGATGAGGGACAGAAGGAAATGTCGCATCACTAGACGGTAGCACCCTTGGAAGTGTCCCCTGAGGCCAGGCCTGCGCTGGGTTCTTTGGGGTGTCATCTCCGACTCAGCTGAGCGTCCCGCCCCGTCCTTACAGCATCCCTGCACGTCAGATGGCATCTCCTGCTTCCCCAGTCAGACGTGCGGCTTCCAGACTTTGCCCTCCGTCTCGCAGCACGGGGGGGGGCTCCGGGGTAGGAACCCGGGCCTCTTGACTCCCTTCCGTTGGGAAAGCAGGCTGCTGTGTGCAGGTGGAGTGCACTGGTGCATGTAAGGACCCCGAGGCAGAGGACGGACACAGTGGTTGTCAGGGCAAACAGGTGGTCAGTGACCCCGTGAACCAGGTTTCGTGGCGCAGAGCGGGGCTCTTTCAATGGTGGCCTCCCTCCAGGGCCACTGCTTCCCCCTGGGGTGAAGACAGTTTTCTTAGGCTCGCTGGGAGACCGCCCGGGAAGGCCCATGTGGGGGCCTTAGAGGTGACTGGAGACACTGTGCCCATTCTAGACCTTTTCTTACTGTTCCATGGGAAGTGTGGGCTTTGCAGAGGCCCTGGTTGGGTTCCACGTGGTAGTTCGTGGCCCCCGTCTTCAGATGAATTTAGGCTCTTTTGGCCTTGTAATGGGCCTTGTGGAACGACCTGCTTAACGACCACACAATGAGACTGGTTCTCAGCCAGGGATCACGGTGCCCCTCAAGGGGACATTTGGCAATTTTTGGAAATTTTTTTTTTAAAGATTTTATTTATTTATTTGAAAGAGAGAGAGCAAGCACACAAGAAGGGAGAGGGGCAGAGGGCAAGGGAGAAGCAGAGTCCCCGCTGGGCAGGGAGCCCAATGTGGGGCGTGATCCCGGAACCCCGAGATCATGACCTGAGCTGAAGGCAGATGCTTAACCAACTGAGCCACGCAGGCGCCCCTAAAACATGGTCACAACTAGGGTTGGGGTGCCAGTGGCTTTTTGTGGGTAAGAGGCTGAAGATGTTGCCTGACAGCTTACAGTGAACGGCACAGCACCCCTCCCTGCAAACATGTAGCCGTCCCAATATGGCCCCAGTGCCAAGGCCGAGACACCCTGCAGCAAGACTAGGTTTCCTGGTCCATGATGAGTTAATTCGGGAATATCAGTGCTGAAGAGGAAAGGACGGTAAACAGGTAGGAGCTTTCCTTCTGGGTCAGACGAGCAGATGGCGGCCTGTTGCCTGATTCTGGGGAACCACCGACAGTCTGAGGGGTCTCGGGAGGCCCGGGGTGGCTTGAGAGAGAGGAGACTGGTGGTTGTGGGCCTCGCTTTAGAAACAGTGGGATGGACTGAGGCTCCTTCTCCCTCCTGCAAGGCCCCCTTGAAAGCCCCTGTTCCCCTGGGTCCTTTGATCCTTCTCTGTCCCCTGTGTCATGTGTCTGGGCAGGAGGATGGGGTGTTTGAGGGGACCAGGCTCTGGAGGAAGCAGAGAGGGAGTTGGTTTTGGAAAGAAGCAGGGAGGGGACTTCTCTTGAGATGGGGAGGAAGCGGGAGTGTTTCAGAGGTGAGGGAGGAATCGTTTGGTGGAAGAGATGTGAGGCTTTAAGGAAGTGACCCCCATCTTCCAGGGCATCGGCTGCAAGTAGGGCCTGGGGGGCGCCGGGGGTAGGAGAGACCGGAACGTTTAGAACCGTGAATGCACCTGCTTCCAGAAGGTGTCTTCGATTCTGGAGGTGTTTACTGAGCCCACAACAGAAAGTGTGACCAATCCAGGAAGAGCAGAGATGAGTCAGACGCAGTCCTGAACTCAGGAAGCTTGGACTTTCTTGCGTGGTCGTGTCCTGGGCCGGGTTCTCGGTCAGGTGCTCCAGGAGAAATGCCTGCTCGCGAGCAAGTCGGGGGCAGCGCACGAGCACGCCCCGCCCGTGCATTTGCAGTCGCGAGCACGGATTGCTCTGAGATGTCCAGCGAGAGGCCCGTTCAGGGTTAGCTGAGCACGTCCCAAGCCATGTCCGTGTGTGGGGATGAGGGCTGGGGCCGCCAGACTCAGCAAACTGAAATATAGGGTGTCCAGTTACATCTGAATCCCGGATGAACAAGGAATTACCAAGACAAATTTATACGAAAACCCTTTTTCAAGGATCTGAAATTCCAAGTTAACGCCTGTGTTTTATCTGGTCTCTGTTGCAGCCGGGCACAGGGTGGGTGTTGGGGGCATAACTCGCATCAGTGAGACACAGCTTTGGGAGCACTGTCCCAGGCCATACCTGTGCCAACTCTCCAGTCCCTTCTTCTGCAGACCTCTTCGCAGCATTTGTCCTCCTTTGTCCAGTGACGTATTGTTAGTTTCCTGGCCCATCGTTTTCTGGCGTGTTGACTGCCCAGGACAGCTGTGAACCCAGAAATGCATGAAAGGCACCAGCTGGTGCAGGTAGAGCCCAGCGTGGCCAAGCCAAGGCCAGGATGGCCAGAACTCCATGGAGCAGTGGGGTCATGAGGTGACGGAGCAGCCTCTGTGGCCGGCAGTGGCCGTGGGGGTGGGCAGGCTGGGAGGAAGAGCAGCAGAGAGGAAAGGGACTGGACTGGAGGAGAGGCCAGGAAGGGGAGCATGGCAGGCAGAGCTGGAGGGAGAGATTACAAGGGATGCCTGGTGTAGGGACAGGTAGCCGGCAAGGCATGCTGCAGTGGCCTGGGGGCCTCCACAGAAAGTCTCCCTGTTGTTCCTCACAACAAGCTCAAAGTAGTCAAAAACAGGCTTGATGGTAGTAATGACTGTCTTCCTCTCCCTTGCTTTAGTCACACTAGCCTCTGTTATTTCTTTAACACGCCAGGTGTGCTTCTACCCCAGGGCCTTTGCACTTTCTGTTCCTGGTGCCTATGATGCTTCCCCCCAGGGCAGGGTGGGGAGGGGGCAGATATCCTCCTGGTTCATGTCTTTTTTTTAAAGATTTTTTTTTTTTTTTTTTTTTTTTTTTTTTTTGTTTTGTTAGAGAGAGAGAGAGCGAGAGAATGTGGGAGCACAGGCAGACAGAGTGTCAGGCAGAGGCAGAGGGAGAAGCAGGCTCCCTGCTGAGCAAGGAGCCCGATGCGGGACTTGATCCCAGGACTCTGGGATCATGACCTGAGCCGAAGGCAGCTGCTTAACCAACTGAGCCACCCAGGTGTCCCCTGGTTCATGTGTTTACCTTGTTTCTAATCTTTGCTTATGTTTTTCCTCCTTGGAGGACTTTGCCAACAACTTTATTTTAAAGTTGCGATGCCCCTACTCTGTCTTTATTTTTCTCTGTAGTGCCTATCACCATCTGGCAGTCTATACATCTTACTTATTTGTTTCTAAACTGTCCTCTCCCTGAAGAATGTAATTTCTGGGAGGGTGAGGATTTGGTCTGTTTTGTTCATTGTTGAGTCCCCAACTCCCACAATGGTGCCTGGTCCTGGCTGGGAATTTGGTAAAGGTTTTTTCTGAATGACTGACTGATTTGAGCTCTTCCCTACACAGCCCTCATCACTCCCATTTTACAGATGAGGGACCGGAGGGTAAGGCTACCCTCCTGGAGGGTAGTGATGGGTGAGAGGAGGCTTTGTACCCCAGCACTTTGCCCGCCCAGTGGGGGCCTGGGGGAGGGGTCTGGGGCCTCTGCTCAGAGGGCAGCAGTCTGGCAGAAACGCTCCGGTGTCCTGTGTCCTTCAGTGACTGCTCTGCCTCCTCTTCCTCAGGCTGCGGTTCCGAGCCGGCCTCTGTCCCCGATGGCCCACGCAGCAGCTCAGTGGAAGGGAGCCCCTTCCGCCCCCCGTCACACTCCTTCTCTGCCGTCTTTGATGAAGACAAGCCTATAGCCAGCAGCGGGACTTACAACTTAGACTTTGACAGCATCGAGCTGGTGGACGACTTCCAGACCTTGGAGCCCCGCTGCACAGACTCTAAGAGTCAGGAATGCAAAGTGAACACGCGGAGGAAATCCACCGATTCTGTGCCCGTCTCCAAGTCCACGCTGTCCCGCTCTCTCAGCCTGCAAGCCAGTGACTTTGATGGTGCTTCTTGCTCAGGCAACCCTGAGGCCGTGGCCCTGGCCCCAGATGCATATAGCACGGGTTCAAGCAGTGCTTCCAGCACCCTTAAGCGAACTAAAAAGCCAAGGCCGCCTTCCTTAAAAAAGAAGCAGACCACGAAGAAACCCACCGAAACCCCCCCAGTGAAAGAGACACAACAGGAGCCAGTGGAGGAGAATCCTGTCCCCAGTGAGGAGAATCGAGCACTAGAGACGAAACCGGAATTGGCCAAGACGGAGGGTTCTGTCCCAGCCCTCTTGGAGGAGACGTCCCTGGAACCCACTGCTGTGCCCAAGGCCGCCTGCCCTCTGGACCCCGAGGGTGCCGAAGGGGCCGTCCCCCCATCTTCTGGAAGTGGCAGAGTGCAGAACTCACCTCCGGTTGGAAGGAAAACGTTGCCCCTCACCACGGCTCTGGAAGCAGTGGAGGTGACCCCATCAGATAGCGGGGGGCAGGAGGACTCCCCAGTCAAAGGGCTCTCGGTGAGGCTGGAGTTTGACTATTCTGAGGACAAGGGTAGTTGGGATACCCAACAGGAAAACCCTCCTCCTACCAAAAAGCTAGGCAAAAAGCCGGTTGCCAAAATGCCCCTAAGGAGGCCAAAGATGAAAAAAACACCCGAGAAACTCGACAACACTCCTGCCTCGCCTACCAGATCCCCCGATGAACCCAACGACATCCCTATCGCCAAAGGAACCTACACCTTTGATATTGACAAGTGGGATGACCCCAATTTTAACCCTTTTTCTTCCACCTCAAAAATGCAAGAATCTCCCACACTGCCCCAGCAGTCCTACAACTTTGACCCAGACGCCTGTGACGAATCCATTGACCCTTTTAAGACGTCCTCTAAAACCCCCAGCTCGCCTTCTAAATCCCCAGCCTCCTTTGAGATCCCAGCCAGTGCCATCGAAGCCAATGGAGCGGACGGGGATGGACTGAACAAGCCCGCCAAGAAGAAGAAGACCCCCTTAAAGACGTAAGTTCAGGGGTGCGAGGTGGTAAGACCAGAGGCGGGTCTGTGCGTTGGCTGTGATCCTGGGTTGTGTGTCTGGATGAACGTGGCTGCCCTGACCCTTCCCTCCGTCTGCCGTAAGGCTGCCAGGTTTGCAACACTGTAACTGTTTCCCTGTTTCCCACAGTGGTGGCATTTCCCCGCCACATACCCCTTTGGGTCTAGAGTCCTTGATCCTTTGTCTTATTCTGACAGTGGTTTAAAGCATTATTTTTAGCTGCAGACCTGACATTTGACTCCAGGGGAGTGTGGGTGGGCCCATAAAGAAGGGACTGTCCAGTAGAGACCTGGTCAACCTTCCGTTGGTGACTTAGCTTTTCCCTGGTTAGCATGGGAATTGCTTTTGGGGGTGGCCTACAAGCTAGGAGAGCTACCTTGAAAATATTGTTAGAATTTGTAGGATTTGTGTCTGCCCTTTAATGGTCCCGGAGCGAGAGATCTGGCCTGGACCCCTCCCTGCCCTGCAGCCAGCCCATGTGAAGTACCTCGTTTGTCCTCATTCTTGTTTCTGGCCATCTTTTGCACACAAGACTCCAAGGCTCTGGGAGTTCCAGAAGAGATCAATGAGAAAACAGTCCCTGGGTGGCCATTCCTAATCAATCCTGCTGTGCAGACACCTGCCAAGTAGAATACCCTTCAGGACTCCATGTCAGTGCCTCTGGCGTCCATCCCCAGACCCAACTATCACCTGGACGGCTGTGGGTCCCTGCTCAGGATGTGGGTCCCAGCATGGTGGGATCAGTGCTTAGAGCCTTTCTCCTGCCCTCCCGGGAAGTATGGTCAGTAGTTGAACAAGGCCCAGAGACCAGGCTTCTGGCCCCAACTCGGCAGACGAGAGCACAGCCTCTGGCCTCTCTGACTGTGCCTGTGACTGTGCCTGAGACAAGGTGACGTTTTTACCTCCCATTCGGGGCTTCCTGCGAGGAGGTTCTCTAAGCAGGCATTAGCCGTGGATCCCAAGACTTTTCTGAGATCAGCGTCCCAGCCAGGCCCTTCCTAGACACTCTGTCAAAGCAGTGTTGGAAGCTTTTTTCAATGCCTCGAACCGAGGTCTGAGGCGCCCAGACTACAAAACTATGATCTCTCATTGTTGGACCGAGAGCCAACCTGTAGCCATCACGCATCACTTCCTTCCCCATGGGTAGCCTCGGTGCCGTCTGCTCTGCCGTCAGAGCTAACTGACAGGTCAGGGAAGCCAGCCCGTCTCTGGGTCTCACCTCTAGTGCCGAAGGCTTGGAATCCCACACGGGCGAGACAAAGCCCTCTGGGCACCGGCACCTACGGGGTGATCAGGAGCAGGACAGGAAGGTGCTCTCCCACAGCCCCTCTCCAGAAAGCGGGGACGGTGGCCATGCTTGCCACAGGGATAGCTCCTGTATCCCAACCCACTGACAACCGGCCGCCTGCAGATTTATCTTTTTTGTCAGTTCCTTCTGTCTGTCTCTCTTTTCTTGTCTTCTTGTCTTAGGATGGTTGAAGATGTGATGTCTGTGTGTTCTCTGTTGTAAGTAAATTGAATGGAATCTGCCTCTCACCCTACCTGTGCTTTTCTGCTTTCTGTTTTTGCTTTCAAACTCTCTCCATTTCCTCTCCGTGGCTGCCGCTTACATGGTTTCTGTGTCGGGTCTGGGGATGGTGGGGGGCATGGGGCTCCCCAGGAGCAAACTTACGTTCCTGTTCCAGAGCGATTAGCATAAGTGAAACTGCTTGGCTGTGAAAATGTGATTATTCACATCTGTCTGCTTGTCAGGAATGGAATTTTTTTTTCTCCCTTGCATATTGGATGTCTTCATCTGAAACCCATACATTTTTTTTTTTTAAGCTTTCATTCCATTCTCTCATTTCCAACCGGACTAGGGAGCGATTGCTTTCAACGCTCTGTGGCTTCACGATGACATAACCACCTGGCCGACCACAGCAGCGGCCCGAGGTCACTTTTCAAGCTTCCATATGAAGTGGAGGTCGTGGGGCTGGTTCGAATTGAGATCCCCTAAAATGCCAGGTGGGCTCGGAGTGGAGTGCACGGCTGTGAGAGCCCTCGCCAGCCTGCTCTGGGCCCGCATCCTTGGCCTCCCAGGACCAGGCCGGGTTTCCATTGGCTTGCCGACTGCTGGCCACTCTGCTGGGCGTCAGTGGAGCCCGAGCCAACCCCTCTGTGCCCGTACTGCTCTGCCACCATGGGAGGGACGCTGTGGGCAGCTCCCAGGGGCCCCAGGACAGGTACCCCTCCGCCCCCCGTCTTACAAGGGAAGCTGGCCTGGTCCCAGGCCTCCAGCGGCCCCCAGAATAGGGTCGAGTCTGTCAGGCTTGCTTCTGACCAAGGGATTTCTTGAGTTTTTTAGAGCCATTTAGCAACTCTCCAATACACGGTTACATGTTTATATGCATGGGTAAATATATGTTCCGGGCTAGGGCTGCACGGCTAGCAAGGCAGATGCTGTCAATGCTGTAAATCACCATTTCTGTAGTTTTTCATGATTGGATGCCATTGCTGGAGCGTGCTGTTGAAGGGGACACAGGGAGGGAACTTGAGTGCTGAATTGCCCTGTCCATCCAGTTAATGTTAGAGCAGGGAGAAGGAGTGGGGTCTAAGATCGGGCGACAACCCGCACCCCAAAAACCTGTTGCTTTGCTGGAGGCAAGACCATACCACACAGTGGCCTGAGACCGGGGGCCAGGCTGCAGGTGGGGAGGCCTCCGTTCTGCCTGGGAAATGACCCCCCTGCCCGCTCAGTGATTCTGTGGAACCATCTATGCTAAAAATGCTCTCCATCGCTGACCCCTTTGCAAGTCTGATCTGATGTTCCCGTTGCCTCGAGTGACCTGCCCCTGCCCCTAATTATTTACATGAAGGAAAAAGGAAGGGAGGGAAGAGTCCTTAACTGTGGTTAGAAATAGACTGTAGAGAAATCCTCTCATGCCGGAAGAGCGCTGGAGATGGCTGGCACGATGTGAAAGTAGTTGACGGCTCTCGGAGATGGTAAATTGTATGTTGTGTGAACTGCGCTACAATTTAAAAAAGAATCCTTTCACCCTGGCCCCGCCTCTGGTTAGACTCTCATCCAGAAGTGCCAAGATGCTGGAATCCTTTACTCTCTGAGTTCCAGTGAGCGGGATGGGACTTTCCCTGAAGACCCAGAACGTTCTTCCTGTTTCTGGCTCTGTCCGTGGTTTGTGATGCTCTGTGTCGGCCTGCCGGTCCGTCAGTGGGGTCCCGCTCATCCGTGTCAGCAGTCAAGGTCCCTGCCCCGCACCTCACTTGGTTCAGACCTTCTTGGATGAATCTGGATACATTAACCTCACCAAAATCTGCTTTTAAAATAAGAACATCTGGCTAATTTTAGCTGCGTGTTCTGGGCCAGCTCTCCAAAATGGCATCTCTTTAAAAGATTTCCAGCTCGAGAACTCTTTCCCTGGGGGGCAGCAATGATCTCTGGTGTCGGGTTGGGATGGATCGTCAGCATGGACATCTCTTAGCCAGTGTGCGGCGGCAGAGGCCGGAGGGCATGGCTTCAGTCCGCTCTGTGTAGCTCTGGACTGTTCTGTACCCCTGTTTGCTGTGTTCACATTCTCCGTTTTATTTCCAGTGACACATTTAGGGTGAAAAGGTCGCCAAAACGGTCTCCTCTCTCTGATCCACCTTCTCAGGTATGATATCCCTTTGATATGCATGATTTTACCCCTCACCCAGGCAGTGAAAGCCCACGCGTTTTGATTCACTGTTGGTCAACAGAGCTTTCTTTTCTGCTCATCCTGGGCACGTTTCCAGCATCCTCTTTGTCTCCTACCTGGGGGCTCCCTTGCCGTTTGCAAGACATCATTTTGATCCCTGCCCTTTGGGGCAGATGAGAGCGTGTCTCAAGAGTAGAAAGACAGGTGTTCGGCCGGAGTGTTAGGCGGGTTCTGGAGGAATCACGCTGACCCATTCTGGTCGGTTCATCTGCTGAGAACTCCTGTGAATACCAAATTGAGAAAGTCCTTGGAGCTAAATGAAGATCCAGTGAGAAAGTGTCAGGAGCACTGGATTGTGTAACCAAAATCCAAGCAGGGAGATAGAGGAAATCACGCCCTGAAGAAGTGGGGTTTGGGCCCTTTCCCCTCTAACTAGTTCCTTCATGAGACAGATCTGCACCATGACAGACTGAGAAGGTCGGCCTCGGGCATGTGTGTCGGGCCCCCGTCTGAGCCAGGGACGTCCCAGCCAGCAGAACGGAGCAGGTGGGGCTGCCGAGAAAGGCACCCACCCCCGGGAGAGGAGTCTGGGGTCCCAGTCCCAGCTCGGCTTTGACAATTCTGGGCTCCCCACCAGTGCTCATCTGCCCCGCCCCGTGCAGATCCTCTGGGGACGGGCGTGAAGATTGCCAAGCGATGTTAATGCAATCAGTTCACTGGCCCCGAAGCACTGTGTGGACATAACACAGTGGTTGCAGTAAATAAAAGTGCCAATAAGTAAATTTCCTTATTTTTTTTTTCAAAGTGAATCAGCAGGAAGTTCTGTGATAACCCAGACACAAACTCCTGTTTTTCTTTTTTTTTAAACCCACGGTCACCCCCCTCACCCCACTCCACCCCAGTAACAACCCATCAGGAAAGGGAATTCACAGAGGAAAGAATTTGCATCCTTGGGGCCATTTTGAGCAAAGTCCAAGGACGTGCTTAGGATGTTGATGGGGACCTGTCCTGGCTGGAGGGACCGCAGACTCGGGTGGGAGGGCGCCGTTGGGGACCAGAGACTGTGTGAGAGGAGAGACTGCTTCCCTTTTGCTCCCAGGACCCCACGCCAGCGGCGACACCAGAAACGCCGGTCATCTCCGCGGTGGTCCACGCCACCGATGAGGAGAAGCTGGCGGTCACCAACCAGAAGTGGACGTGTGTGACGGTGGATCTGGAGGCTGACAAGCAGGACTACCCACAGCCCTCGGACCTGTCTACCTTCGTCAGTGACACCAAATTCAGCTCGCCCACAGAGGGTAAGCCCCTTGGTGGTGGCCGGACCCCCAGGATGCCTTGGAGACCACCTTCCCTGGGGAGCACAGGGCCAGGGAAAAAAACCTCCAAGCCAGGTCTCCTTGCCACCCAGGCACTCCAAGCTAAGGCTGCATTTCAAGACAGCCTAAGGCTTGAACCCAGCTGTACCCCAACCCCTAGATGCCAGCTGAGAGCCAGTCAGCTCAGGGCCCCCCAGTTCCCGTCCTGAGCTCACTCGAGCTTTGCTCACTCTCTGGCTTACGCGCCTGCGTGATTTTGAAACACGATCCCAGCTGTAGGCAGCACCGTCAAGCCAAATGCTCCATGTGGGTCAAGCCCTGACCAGGTCTGGGGTCTCCCGGGACCACCACCGTGCATCAGCCCCATAGCATGTTCCACAGTGGGAGCCACACCTTCCACTCAAGCCCCCAAACCAGACGGTTCACTCCAGGCTGGCCAACCAGAGGCCCATTTTCCTGAACGGGACCCCAGGCGTGTTGCTTTGCTCATCAGTATCTTTCTTCCTCCTCCGTGTATTTTTGCCTTCAGCTTTCTGCCTGATCCTTTGGCTTGAAAAATTCATGTGTTAAGTCAGCACAGCATGATTGGGTAAATCAAGATTTTTTTCTTTTCTTTTTTCTTTTTTTTTTTTTTTTTTTTTGGTAAACTGCTTACTCCACTAACAGTGATTTTTTCTGAATCTCTGTATTGGCTCCCACACTTCCTCTTCTTTGTCAGGAACACTGCCGGGGCCTGAAACCATCTCGTGGTCTGATGGTGATGGTGGTCTTTCCTGCTTCAGCCCCTCTAGGGGCTTCCCTCCAGCACTCGGGACTGTTGGGATGGTTCTCGGTCTCCCTTTCCAAGCTCTTGATATACAACCATTCCAAAAAATGAGTAGAAATCAATACGACGGCCACCGCACCTGAAAATCTTACCCACCCTTCTCGGCTGCTGCTAAGGAACCCCCACCTCCCTGCCCCTCCCCCCACCCCACCTGCTCCCGCCCCGAGGCCGGTGGTGTAACGGAGAGTGGGTGCCTTATATTGCTTCCTTGGCATGCCCCTGTGTCCTGGCCACTCGCCAGCTTGCTCTGTGCCCATAGAGTCTCTGAACGACATGAGTGAGGTCCATTTCATTTTGGGCGGGGTGTGTAGTTGGGTGTTTTGGCGTTGTGTGTTCTGTAGAACAGAGCCTTTTGCTTGGCTCTCCGGGCTGCCCTCAGGGTGGGTTTGGGAGGCTTGATAGTGACCATCTCACTGCAGCCTGACCCCAGGGGCCCTGGGTCCTGGCCTCTGCCCCTCCACAGGCCTTTCCTCTGCACACACACCTGGGCCACGAGCCCCGCTGGATGGAACCACTTGGCCCCGTGTGTGCACCTCCTCCCCGGCTTGGCTGTCTCCGCAGTGCCCCGTGTCCTGTCTCCCATGCTTGGCTTGGGCTTCTCTGGGGTTACTTGATGCTGTAATGATGATGACATGCTTTTTTTTTTAAAGATTTTATTTATTGGAGAGAGAGCACAAGCAGGGGGAGTGGCAGGCTCCCCACTGAGCGGGGAGCCCAATGTGGGACACCATCTCAGGACCCTGGGATCATGACCTGAACCAAAGGCAGATGCCTAACTGACTGAGCCACCCAGGCACCCCAATACTTCCATTTTTAATAGAAAATATGAAGATCTTGATAGTACCTGTTAAGCTAATCGGTGTCCCAATCCATGCTAACATGTTTGTCTGTCTTTGGCATGGAACCAAAACAGACAACTCACTAGCTCGGTGACATATTTGATCATTGCTTATTTTCTGCAAAAATTCAAACGATAGGTAAGCGTGTACATTTGAAACAAAGCTCTATTAAACCTGCCTTCTTAGAAAATGATCGGGAAGATTCGGGAAGTCCCAACTGTCGTTACAACTGGTGGGCAATCGGAAACTGTCATCTGTACGTACAAGGGACAGTTAGAGTTTCAGGGGGTGTTGACCCTGCGTTCACCTTTTGACCACAGCCTGCTTCCCTCCAGCGGTCAGGTGTAGAAACTGGATGCCCAGCCCCGCTATCAGATGGTCCTTCCTGTTAATTTACTGAGGTCAAGTACAGACATGCCCCAGGGGTGCTGATGTCATCACCAGAAAGAATCTGGCCAGAGCTGTAGCCTTGATTGAGGCTTTGTTCCACGGAAGTCACAAATCACAGGAAAACGAGATTTGGGGTTAGAAATAATGACCCCCTGAACAGGTGTTTGCTAGAAGGCCAGTTCTCAAAGTGACATAGAGGGAGGGCTTGACACCGGTGCAGTGCTCTCTGAGCCCCGCTGAGGCTCCTGGATACGTGATTTCATTTCGTTCTCAGTTCTAGAGAGTGGATTTCTGCTCCTCCCCACCTAGCAGCAAGGAAGCCCCGACTTTGAGCCGGGCCGACTTGCTGAGCGATGTGGGGTGAGTCCCTGTAGATCTGGGCTGCCAGACTCCTCAGCGTCCTGCCCTTCCCTGCCACGCTTCTGCATGTGAGCACCGTGCTGCCTTCCTCTCGTCGTCGTCTCTAGAAAGACGGTGTGGAACCCAGCGGTGCTTCCCGACCTGGGTCCACAAGAGCTTCACGCTGTCGGAGTAGTTGGAGAAACCTGGATGGAACTAGTTTAGAAAGATGCCCAGCTCATTAAAAGGACGTGTCTGGGCGGTAATTTCATCAGCTCATGGCGACACTGATCATCTCCCACTGATTAAAAACTCAGATTGGCGATTTCAAATGTTTTTCTTCGGACGCTTGTTTAGGAAATGGCCTCTTGCACAATCTTGGAAACATGGTGGGGAAAATCCTAGTTCTTGTGGTCCGTAGGGATTCCAAGATTAGGAGCCTCCGAAGCCTCTCCCAGCTCTGGTCCAAGAGACCCAAGGAGAGCAGTGTCTTAGAATCACAGGTCTGGTGGGCTTTTGAGGATTACCCAGCAACCCTGTCTCCCTAACACGCAGGGACATCTGCCCCCACCTTCCTGCTCCAACAGAGGGGAAGGTGCCCCCCTCGAGAGCCTAACTCTTCTTCTGTGGCGGGTGCCATTGCTGTCACACTACAGACATTCAGAGGAGTCACGGTGAGGATGTTGGGAGCAACATCCTTGTCCCCTAACAAAGGGTCCCTTCTCTCATCACTTATGTTAAAAGTTCCAGAAATACTAGCCATGAGCCGTATAATATATGGGGTCACAATCCCTTACGTTTGTGTAACCTGCAGTAGGGCTTTTACCTGACATCATTAACTTTTTTGCAACATGGAGGCCCTTTGAGCTCCATTTGTAGGGAAGTCAGTAGGCAGGGGAAGCCAGGGGGTTGGCTGCCCCGACTCTGGGAATGACGATCTGGGCTCAGCCGCATCCTCCACCTTCTGCCCAGTCCCCAGCCAAGCTCTGGCAGCCAGAGTCGGAGGAGAACAGCCACCAGGCCCCCTCACGGTGCGTTGACGAGCATGAAATGATTACTGGAAGCAACCTCAGATGACAGGACCCATTAAAAATACCTTTGGGCCTCTGCGTCGGGAGGCGGCACATGCCTCTCTTGGACGTGAAGGTGTTGGGCCACTTGGTGTAAGTGGCGTCACCCTTCCTGGCCTTTCAGCTGTGTGTGGCCACAGCTGAAGCCGGACATGGCTCCCCCTCCAAGCCCACCCGTAGAGGCTTTAGCCCTGAAAGACTGAGAGCAGATGAGTGAGATTTTGAAAACAACATTCTGGAAGATATTCCTTCAAAGCACGGGAGATGGTATCAATGACAAGAAGAGAATTTGTTTTTCTTCTCACCTTTTCCAGGCCTTTTTTTTTTTTTTTTTTTTTTTTTTCTTCTTTTATTAGAGAGCATGAGCAGGTAGGGGAGGAGGAGCAGGGGGAGAAGCAGACTCCCCACTGAGCAGGGAGCCCAACATGGGGCTTGATCCTAGGACCCTGGCATCATGACCTGAGCCGAAGGCAGACGCTTAACTGACTGAGCCACCCAGGCACCAGTTTGTAAATAATAACTGAGAACCCCACATGGCTCTTACTGGAAGTTTCAGGCCCTGTGCTGAAGGAATGCCTCCAGGCATCACCAGGAACAGAAGCTCCCATGGATGAGGCAGACATTTCTTGGGATGGAGTGGGGGGTGGTCAGACAATCCCCCACTATTTTACTGCTACCTGCTGCCTCTGAAGGGCGGGATGGGGGGCAATGGGCAATGGGAAGGGAGACCCCATCGGCAGATGGCAAAGAAGGCAGATAAGTGAGCTTGGTGACCTGAAACTCCCCCTGATCAGCTGCCAGGGGACGAGCTAAGGTTCCAAGCGGGACGCATGACCGAGTCAAGCTGGTCACCAGAGCTGGGCACTCACCCAGGGCCTCAGTCCCTGGAAAAATCCCTGTGGCGGCTCCAAGCCTGTTTGGTGCATCCTGGGTGCTCTGTGCCACTGCGGGTGTGCTGAAGGGTTCTGCTAAACAATTTAGGGTTGAATCATGCCTTGGCGCTGATAATGATACCTTGGTGAAGGAGGCCGCAGATGCACTGTTATCTTCTCAACTTAAAACAGTCTTTAATAGGACAATAAAATGATAGCCCTGAGGTCCTACATCTGGAAATTGAGCGATCTGGAGGGGGCTCTAGAAATCACCTGGTCTCTCACCGTCCCTCGTTTACCTCGCCTTTACAAGACAAGGAAGACCGTGAGTCTTCATAAATCCTTGTGCGCCCTAAGAACGGATACCGACTCCAGTCCCGGACGCTGAACTGCAGCCCAGACACTCTCTGTTCTTCCCGAGCGACGCCCGAATGAGGACAGAGGCCCGCGGGACGCATGGGATCTTTCTGGCCCGCTAATCCGCAAAAACCGTCTTTGTTCCCCTGGGCAGGCCGAGCCCGAGGGCAGGAGGCGTTTGCTTCCCCAGGGAGTTTTCAGTGACTCAAGAGCCGTGCACGTGTTCTCACTGCCTGAGTTCCTATGGCCGCATCCCCACATGCTCGCGGGTTTGGGGACGGTCTTCCAGGAAATGTGTCCTCTTAGAGCTCAGATTCAGGAATCACTGTTTAAGCAATACCTTCAACCGTGGGGAGAAACAGGTGCTGTAACGCGGAACTGCTCTTCCATGTTCTGGTAGAAACAAGCATCAGGGTTGCCACGGACGCTCTTGCAGACCTGCTTTCTGAGCGGGTTGCGTGGGACCTCTTGGTTTTCTTCTCAAGTAGGAGACGCCATCTGTTAGCGGCGAATGTGGCTTCTGAGACCATCGAGCCCTTTCTGGGTTGGTTCACCTCTACAGCCACTGTGCCCAGCACGGTTTGGGGCACGTCATGCGGGCTCGGAATCCATTCCCTGGACAGGGAGTTCCGCTGAGAGGCAGACCTGGGTGTCCTCGTGGAATCCTCCCCCCCTCCCCGATCCCCCGCTTGGCGACCCAAGGGACCGAGGGCTTCTAGTCTCCAGTGAGAGTTTTTCAAGTTTCCCTTCCAGCCTCTGGTCTCCAGTCTGTTTGAAATAGGTCATTTCTCCACCTAACTGGACTTGCATAGTCTTTGCATCTGGAAATCTGGTTTGGACCAGCCCTGTGGGCGCTGGCAGGGTTCTGGGAAATGTTCCAGGGGACTTGCGAAGCTTCTCTTAACAAGCAACATTGTAGGAACAATGTATGCTCTTCCCTTGCCTCGGAGCATGGCGGGGGCTGCATTCTCAGAGAGGGACCGCGGAGGGGCCCGTTCTAAGTGCTGTAGCGATGTGGGAACATTCTCCATGTCGTACGTGAGACACAGAGAAAAGCAACACTCAGAATAGACTGAAAACTCGGTGCATGGCGCCCAGATCTGCCCCAGCTCAGACCTCTGCTGCTCACACCTAACTCCCTTGGACTGTCTCAGGCGCCCAAATGGCAGGAGTCCCTTCGCCACAAGAGGCTGAGGAGTGGTCTGAAAAGGGCTGAGCGGAGCCTCCCCTTCCAGCCAAATCAGAAACCTCGAGAGTTAGTGGATAAGCTCAGAGTTGAGAGTCTGGTTCCAGATCCCACCCTGCCTGGCCCAGGGCCTCCCCGCCCCCCAGTCACTAATTCTCCTTTTGTTTCTTTTGCAGAGTTGGATTACAGAAACTCCTATGAAATTGAATATATGGAGAAGATTGGCTCCTCCTTACCTGTAAGTCCTGCCTCAGGCCAGCAGCGGACTGGCTTTTCTTCCCTGTCTTATGAAAACGCAGGCACTGGCCTCCTCCTGAGCTCGAGTCCCAAATCCAGGGGGGTCCTCTTTGCCCGCAGTGTCCTGGGTGCACAGTAAGGGTAAACTGGGACCACGGGGGGTTGGAGGTTTATATTTGTTTCGCTCCACGTGGCATTTTCAGGGAGCAAATGAGAATGCAGTTAGGCTTCCTGCATCATTATTTCCCAAGGTTAAGGAAGAACTAGTCGGAGATTTTCTTAAAAAGGTGTAGCAGTGGGTTGGTGGTTTTTAAGGTATACGATTATCTGTTTTCTTCAAATTAATTGCTTTATGTAACTGAAGAGTGGCTTTTCTGGCAAGACGTCCCCCCATCCCCGCCCTCCACTTGCCATTCCTTTCTCATTTAAGTGGCTGTGATGGGTGGCGGACCCCGGGTTTACTGTCTGCTACCCCCAGGGTGCTTGGCTCCTAGCAGGACCTCCTGCGTCGTGCTGTTGTCCAGTGATGCCGTCAGAGGCCCGGAGGCACCAGAAGGGCTTGCTGTGACATTAGTGGCCTGGACATATGACTCGTATCTTTGTCTTTCTTTGCATCATTTGTAAATGCTGGGCTTGCGGCTCCTGACCCTTGGTCGGCAGAGCATGGTGGAGCTGCTCTCCACACTGGGCCACCGTGCTCGTCCCCTCACCCCTCTGTCTGCCCGTCCCAGGCTGGGGTCTTGCCTACCCCTGTATTTATCCCCAGTGGCCCCATGGTTGGCCATCCAGAAGGGGTAGCCAGGAAATGCCGGTGGACAGTGTGCAGCACCCCAACACCATTGCGATCCCTCTCCCCTCGACACTGTTCCTGGCAGCACACAGTTCCTCTTCCCTCCACCTTCCTCTTCCCTCCCCTTTCCCTGTCCTCTCCCCTGGCCGCACTGCCTTCTGCTCCCTTCTGGGTGGCTTGAGAAGAACGAAAGCTTTTCCCCGATGAGTTATTTGTTCTGTAGAAGAGAACTCCGGTTTTTATCTCTCTGGCGTGTTCAGACCACCTGCAGCCCAGCTGACCTGTGCCTTTGATCCCTGCAGCAGGATGATGACGCCCCGAAGAAGCAGGCCCTGTACCTTATGTTTGACACGTCTCAGGAGAGCCCGGTCAAGTCTCCCCCCGTCCGGACGTCAGAGTCCCCGACGCCTTGTTCAGGGTATGACTTCCAGGAGGAGAGTGTTTCGGGTCAGGCCATCTGTCCCCAAGCCTCTGAGCCCCATGGTACTGCTTATCCTGGCCTGGTTTCATTTGCATGGATGAATTCACGCAGCCCACCTCCTGGTCTCTGAGTGTCCCCACAGACACACAGGCGGGTGAGGGTGTTATCGGCTGCCCTTTGTCCTTGAAACAGCTGAATGCGTGAGCCCCTCCCATCACCGCCCCCCAGCGCACCTACACTATGGTCTTGTGACTTGAGCCATGGGGAGGCAGCGTGCCACAGCATTCAGACCCGCAGTCCTACTCCCACCCCTTACTAGCTGTGTGACCTGATGCAGGTTCCCTGACCCCATGTGCTGCCATCTCCTCGTGGGTAAAAGGGGGTAGTCATAAAACCGATCCTGTAGAAATTTTATGAGGATTAAATGAGGCTCTCCATGTTCTAGGCACCCCCCCCCAACTGTGCCGTTCGGCTGGGGGTGCCTGTCCTCCGAAGCCACCGAGAAGATGAAACAGAGATGCTATAAGGAAAGCGCAGTGCCAGGGAGACGTTCACTGTTAACGTGGCTGTGAATCAGCACTGGTTAGGGCCCTGTTCTGAGCCGGTGGTGCTGGGTGGGTGCGGGTGGGGTACCGCTCCGGGGCTGGGACCCTCCTATCCCTTTACCTGCACCATTCTCTAGCACAAGTGAAGGCACTTGCTTTGACTTCCCAGACAGACTTCTGAATCCACTGAGGGTATTGAGAAAGATGGTGGTGATGTTGTCACAGCAATAGTCATGGTGACGGGGACTGTCAGGTGCTTCATATGTGGGCAGTGTCTCCCTTGACCTTCACCCAGCGAGGTCTCCTGTGCTACAGAAAAGGAAACTGAGATGCAGTACACAGTCACTTCCCCCAGGGTGCGCCGCCAAGGGACGGACAGTCTGCCTAACTCTGGCTTGTGCCTTTAGCTGGGAGTATCTGTGCTCCTGACCGGCCCTTGTCGGCAGGCCCTGAGATGGGGCTGGGTCACCCTCTCCCTCAGGTTGTCCAATCGACAGGCTCCCTGGCTACCCAGCACCCTCCCCAGTTTCCCTCTGGGAACGCAGCTGTGGAAGCGTGGGATGCCTTGGGAGGGTGGTTGAGTGCGGACTCAATCCTGGTCAGTTTCAGTGGGATTTCCAATGAGACACAGATGCTCTTTGCTTCCTCAGGTCAAGTTTTGAGGAAACTGAAGCCCTTGTAAACGCAGGGGCAAAGATCCAGCATCCTGTCCCACGAGGACTGGCACCCAGCCAAGAGCCACACTTGCAGGTGCCAGAGAAATCCTCCCAGAAGGAGCTGGAGGCCATGACCTTGGGCACTGCTTCAGACACGATTGAAATTGTAAGTGGGGTCGGAGGGGCCTGAGATCACTGCGGGTGAGGCCTGGGCCAGCTGGGTCCCATCACCAAGGGATCCAGTCCTTCAGAGCAACACTTACCTGGCACCTGGTGTGGGGCCCCACCCAACCCCCAGACCACAGAAGCCAGCCTCGGAGACCCCACGCCCTAGCCGTGAGAGAAAAGCTCTTCATTCTCTGTGGTTTTGTAGTTCTTACCTCACTGCTTTATTTGCCTTCAGGGTTCTTGATTTGCCACTTTAGTCCCTTGGGGCTGGACTCTTGCTTTGGAACGGACATCAGTTTGTACCTGCTTCTCCATACTCTAGGTCAAGGGCAGAGAATGATAGAGCAGGGGATACTTGTTTAGGGAACACTTGGTTCTCCCGGGCCTTGGTGATGGAAATCCCTCCTGTTTGTAGACCTCTTTGTATATCCCTCCCCTCCCAACCCCTCTGGAGTCTTGCAGAGCCAACAGACTCCCTGAATATCTAAAACGGGCCATCCTTCTAGGTGAATTTTTATTTTTCTCTCTTTTACCTCCTCCCCAAGAGGGTTTGAAGCTGTTGACTTAGTTACTTTTAGTGTTACTTTTGTTGTTCTGTATTAGTTGACCATTTGTCTCATGCTTCAGATATTTATTGAGCACCTACTGTGTGGCAGTTAGATGCTGGAAAAATATTAGTAAGCAAGAAGAAAGTAGAAAGTGTCTCAAAAAGACACTATGGAAGGACTCATGCATGATTGAACTTCTACAAAGTTGGCTTCTGACTTTGGAGTCTTCCCAATAGACCCAGAGACAATTTTTCATTGGAAATTGTCTTTCTATTATTTAGAAAATGACCTTTACCAAAATCTTTGACACATACTTGTAGGTGTTTTCTTGATGAGTTATATTATGTTTGGAAAACCCATCAACTGCCTTGTCTCCCCCACCAAGACTTTCAAATAATTAAGTAAATGTTAACTTCCATCCCACTGGTTGGTTAGGGAGTGAGGGTGACATGGGGGGTGAGTGGGCAGCTAAGGCTTGGGGGATGGGAGGGCGGAGGCCGTCAATCTCAAGATGCCATCACCAGCAGGTGGGAATTAGTCCAGATGAGAAGGAAAGTAGTGTCACCTAATGCTCTCTTTAACATTAAGTCAGAAATATCCAGCAAATGGGTGCATGGTCCTTGCTTGGAATCGATGTCACTCTGTGTCTCCTCTATTTTTCCTCTGTGTCCTCTTCTGGCCTTCAGACAGCTCCTGAGGGCTCCTTTGCCTCTGCTGACGCCCTCCTCAGCAGGCTAGCTCATCCAGCCTCTCTCTGTGGTGCGCTTGACTATCTGGAACCCGACTTAGCAGAAAAGAACCCCCCAGTATTTGCCCAGAAACTTCAGGTTTGTAGCCCACGTGTGACCTTTTGGGGAGTTTGTGAAAACCTCAGTAGAGAATGAACTCCAAGCCCCAAATGCAATGAGACAGGATCTAAAGAGGGATTGCTGGAAATGCTCCAGATGAAATCTCTTCTACCTCAAAGACTGATGTGTGATGGCTGTTCTTGATCCAAGACGCCAAAATGATATAAATTGTGTGATTACAGATGGGACAAACCATTTGTATTCCAAATGGGAAATTGGACCCAAAGAGTCATTTTTCAGTTTTGATAGCCCCCAAAGCTGTGTCTGTGATTTATTCACAGAACCAAGGGTATTAGATCACCAGAGAGCCAAGCTGTTTGTATAAACGGGAGGGGAGGCTATCTCAGACTCCCATTGAGATAACATCTGGACTCAGTCTCACATCTGGAACCAAAACAATGAGCTACTCTGTGCCTTAAACCTGACAACTTAATTTGATACCCTCTGGACTAAGAACTTCAGAGCAAACCTGGAGAGATGGTTAACACTCATTTGAGAATGTGAAACCATTTGTGGAAACTGTTGACCACCTTGACGTAAAACAAACAAAAAGGAAAGAAATCCAGTGAAACAGTGCAGTCAAAATTTTGATCCCGTTTTAAAAATCATCTCATATTTGACCACACGATCCTTCCCAACAGACATTCTGAAGGGCAATTAAAAAAAAAATTAAACACTTGTTTCATGATCTGCTGAGGTGTTAATTGTGCAAGAAAGCCAGAGCGTGTGTTTTTCCTGAGTACCTGTCATGACACATTCATGTGGCGCATTCATTTCTTGGATGTGGGACACATTGACGTCTTGTCTTGATGCATTTCCCCTGCGATTTGCTCACCCCCCGCCCCTCGGACAGGAGGAGTTAGAGTTTGCTGTCATGCGGATAGAAGCTCTGAAGCTAGCCAGGCAGATTGCCCTGGCTTCCCGTAGCCGCCAGGACACCAAGGTACGGGTTTGCTGCTGCCGTGCACGGCCTCTTGAGAATGTGGTGTGGTCCAGAAGTTTCTTTGCTAACCGTTGGCCAAGCAGGCAATGCCAGTGTTCTACAAAGCCGTCTAATTTTTCTAAAAAGCTAAAAGCGTAACTCTTGCTTAAGTAGACGCTGAGCCCATGTCTAAGATCTGCTTAACTCGGTAATGAAGGAACCAGCAGGGCGGCGAAGCAGGTCGAGTGGAGGAAAATGGGGGAACCCAGTGTAGAGTCAGGGGAACAAAGAAGGCCAGAATCTTAACTGTGACCTTACTGCAAGGTTTGCTATAAAACCGGTTAATACTGGCTAAACAAGACAGTGCAATATACCCTTGGAGGTTTTTTTGTTTGTGTTCTGCGAAAATCATTTGCTTCTCCACTGAAAGAAATCATTTGCAGCCTTCCTGTTTTCTACAAGTTAGTATCTAATTGTACAGAGACGGGACGCTGATCAATACTAAAGAGAGAAACCGAGACCTCTCTGAGACTTCAGACGGCCTCTTAGGCCAGAGTCAGTAGAATTAGAGCAAGGCAACCCTGTCCTCTAAACGGCAGATGGTGCATATTTTAGGCTTCGTGGGCCATCTGGTCTCTGCCACGGCTGCTCCGTTCTACAGTCACAGCTCAAAAGGCGCCACAGACAATGTGTAGATGAACGGGGTGGCGATGTTCCAGTCAAACCCTCTTTACCAAAGAGGGCGTTGGGCCATTTGGCCCACACACCATCGTTGGCCAAGCCCTGCTCTAGAGTGAGATACTGACAGAGCATGCAGAAATTTCTTTGCCTGGCTTCCAAGTTTGGAGTAATTTTTCTTAACAATTTGGAGTTGCTGAAGCCGTGCAAAACTGTGGCCCTCTGAGGTTCAGGCCACTTCCTTCCCACCTGATGTCGCACCGTGTTGGGTAGCCTGGCGTGCTCTGTGGCCTTAACCGTGTTGGTGAACCTCTCTGGGCCTCCGTTTTTCCAGCTGTGAGATGAGGCTACTAACCGTGCATTTGCAGATTGCTGTAAGGGCTGCAGATGATGTGTGGAAAACAGGCACCGTGCCGGGCACACAGTAGGTGTGCAGTAAATGACAGCTGCTCTTGGTAACTGACCTTCACTTTTGCCTCTGTTGTCTGATTGGACACTCATAGCATCTCTGCCGTAGGAGGGGTCCAGGTCCCATTTTATAGATGGGGAAGTGGAGTCATGGAATGGGGTCCAAGGCCCAGCAGTGATTCACTGACCCAGCGGGAACAGTTTTCAGATGGGAGCCCCTTGCCTGTCCCATCTCAAGGAACAGCTCACTTGGTCCAGGATCAGGAGCTTATGGGAGGCTCCTGCCCTCAAGGCCTCCCACATGTGGTTCCCCTGGGAACTGTCCACAAGGTGGGGGGCTCCCTCTCAGAGACATCTCTCAGTGAAAGAAGGTAGTCCCGCTGTGGGTGTCCAGACTGGGAATACTGGGACCCAGCACAGGGACAAGAACGTTCATACACATTGCTGGCATTCCCGTTCTCATTGTAAGCCCTTGAGGTTGGGTTTAGTTTCCATGAGTAAGGTTTTTAGAAAGCATCAAGCAGAGAGGAATCGTTCCCCCATTAGATTTATTTCTTGATATCTTAGGGGGAGTGGCTTAAGGACAGAATGTATGGCTTCAGGTCTGACCTCCGTAACTACAGTATATTCCTGTCCAGAGGGTTGAGACAAGATTGAGCATGTTCTAGTAAGAGTTCAGATGGAGCGAGGAATGTTCTGGAGTGCCTGGTGCCCCCCTGCCTCCTTCCTTTGGGGACGCATCAGAGATGACGGTCGGCAGATACTGGCCGGCCATTGACTTCTGTCAACGACAGCCTGTTCTCCGACCCTCTTTCCTGCTTTTGATGTAGAAAATATTGTCACGTGAATCCACTTCGTGTAGGTTGGAGGGACGGGCCCCAGCTACCTCCTTATGTATCTCAGAAGGATCTGCTAAAAGAAATGCTGGTGGGGGTGAGCTGTCTGGGAGTGTGGGGAGCCTTTGTCTCGGCCACGGTAGCTGGTACCACGTTTCAGGTTCCTGTGGTTTCTTGCTCACGTAGACGCTTGATTGTCCCTCGCTGCCTCAGAAATCGCTGATGGAGAGAAACAGCAGCTGTGTATCCAATTTGCTTCTTTTTCTGCCCATAAATTTCAGCTGTAGGTGACATAGCCCAGTCTTCATGGCAGCGTGGTCTCAGACTGATGCTGACACAAAAATGAAATCACTTGGAATGAAAAGGAATCACTCAGAGGGCTCAAAGCGGCATGAAATGTGGCGGTGGCGACTCCTTGTCGCTCTCCTGGGCCGCTTCCCTGTAGACCAGAAGCCAGCGGAGCTGACCTTGAGCTGACCTTCCGAGGACCCAGTGGGGTTTCCTGTCGCGTTAGTCAGAAGATGTCAGAGAAGAGGAAAGTTCCGTGGGGCTGGAGTGTTGGGCTGGAGCGCGTCTGGCTCAAGTGAATTCGGATTCACTTGCATTCCCGGGGTTCATCGGACCGGGGTGGCCGGCTGTGGTACAGCAGGCCCGAGTGTGACCAGGATGGATAGAAGGGCGGTGTCCCGACTGTGTGGCTTTGCGAGGGGCACAAGGTGTGTGGGGGATGGATTTCGTTCAGATATATGACAGATACTAGTGGCGATCCCTAAAGCCACTGACCTTTCTGGAGGAGGGGACCCAAATATAAAGAACGAGGAATGTGTGTGGGTCCTGTAGGAACCAGGGTCATACAGACGGCGAACTGCCGGACCGGAGGAAGTCCCAGAAGCGGGCCCCTCCGGAAGGGGAAGGGTGCTGATCTTTCTCCTTCTCCAGGAGTCCTGGCCCATAAAGGCAGACCTGGATTTTCCAGGAGCAGGGAAGGAGTTAGGTCTGGGACAACCTGAACTGGTGACTGGCCTGATAGCAGGGCTCCTTCTCTAGTGCTGTGTCCAGAAATCACCCAGCACCCCCGGCGTTTCACAACGGGATGCCTAAAAGCTGCAGGACGTCTGGAGAGCAGGGACAGAGGCCCGCCCCCTGGGTTTCAGCAACTGTTTGCCAGCTTGGGGAATTGGTGGTCAGGCCGAGCCTGTGTTGAGAAGGATCGAGGCCAGGTCTTGACTCAGTGGGAAGAAGTGGCCAGTCGGTGGCTGGTGGTGCCTCCTGTGGGTGTGACTAGGGCACATACCGAGTGTCCTCTTGTTCGTCATCCTGAGCTGCTGTCCAGTTTGGATGCGGCAGCTCCCCAGGGAGAGGGCCCTCTCCTGCCCCACCTGCTGTCATGTAGCCTGGATGCCCCCCTACTCCACCCAAGGGCCCAGCCTGGCCCACTCTCCATGACTTGGCCCAGCTTGCCGTGGTCTCCTGGCCTGATCTAGATTCCTGGTCCGCACTGCGTACGCACCTGGCATGGTCACGGCGGGCCAGCCCATTCCCAGAGACTGGAACCCCGCCTTGGTTCCAGTGTCAGCTTCCCCTGAGGCCTAGCGACAGGGAACCGGCCACGAGAAGGGCGTGAGCCTGGGTGAGTGGCAGGACTGCAAGGCCAGAAGGGCCCCAGGCAGGCGGTCTGCAGGTCTGAGGGTGACGGCACCCTGGGGATCCCCGCAGGGACCCAGATGCGAGTGAATGGATTACAGGGCTGGAAGTGGGTTCCAGAAGCTCATGCTCTTTCTGAGTGGTGGCTATTTCACGTTTTAATTTGTGATCCTCTTGGCTTTTGGGCTCCCCTAGAGCAGCCAGTGGAGCATTATTGCTAGAGAAACAGAGCTTAATCTAAGCCTGATGTTAACATATCAGCGAGAAACAAGCCTGTCTCCCTTAGAAATGATTCTTGGTTGTCAGAGAAAACCAGGGTGTGTACCTTGAATTTCATTAACACGCAGATATTCCAGGCAGTAATTCAAATGGATTCTGAAGTCATCTGTTCCTTTATTGAAAACACCAGGTGGCGCGGGTGAAAGGTGGTCCTGAGTCACTGTATGTGGTGGTTAACCATTGTGTTTACTTAGAAAGCTCATTAATGCATTTAGTTTTCATTCCCTTCCTTGTTGTACAAAGGACTTAGGCAGCTTGAAGATCATCAGTTCCTGCCCTGGTCGGATTTCATTTCTGCCCAGCATGATGAAGTCAGGTTTACTCCATTTCCCCTCGCCCTTCAGAGCCGGCTTGTTTGGAGTCAGAATTGAATCTCATTCTGGGAAACCTTTTGGCCAAATCCCTTAAATCCTCCATTTTTTTTCATTTTCCAAAGGCCCACGATGTGCTAGGTGGTGGTTGGTGTTCTTTCCATTTTGATATTTTATTCTAATTTTTTTCAAAGGACACATTATTTTACTTAAAAAGTGACCTGAACAGTTTTTTTTCCAGAATCTTGTGTTTATGAATTTCCTCCATAAATGCAAGTAGAGTCTTATTTTCTGGGTATAACTTCTTTTTTCCTTCTTTTTTTTCTTTTTTAACATTTAGTTATTTGTTTGAGAGAGACAGTGGGAGTGGGGGTGGGGGCAGAGGGGGAGGGAAAGAGCCTCCCAAGCCCACCCCCTTGCTGAGCACAGACCTGGAGGAGGGTAGGGCTTGATCTCATGATCCTGAGGTCCTGACCTGAGCGGAAAACAAGACCTCTGGGTATAATTTTCTGTTTACTTCCTGAAAAGTTTCCCATATGACAAGTAGAGGCCTGAAAACATTTCAAACAGCAGAGATGAACTCAGGCACCAGGGAGCCTCTGTACCTATGGTCTGAGGGCGTGCTTTCTTCTGAGGTCAGCCTGCCTGCCCCTGGGCCTTGGTCAAATGTCCTATAATGGAGGCTTCTTTAGGACCTGAGGATGAAAAGATCATGGCATCCTGTTGGACAGGAGAGCGTAACTCCAGGGTCTGGGAGAACGGGGGTGTGGTACGCTCCCTCCCCTCCCTGACCGGAGTAATCATTTAGGGTCCTCCTGCGCAAGGAGCCCAAATACGGAAGCCCCCCCCGCCCCAGAGCCAGGGAAATCCAGGCCCCTTTTTAGGACAGCCCAAAACCACGTCATTCACTGTGCATGTGTACAACTAACTGGGCCTAACCTGTCATCTCCAGTCCTACCCATTAAATTTCTGCCTGAGTTTTCTAAGTTGTTTCAAGTTTGTTTTCTCTGTAATTAGGGGGAGCCTGCCTGTTCTTGCAATGATAGAGAGAGTACCTTCAGGGGCGCCCCCTCCCCCCTCATTGTTGGGTCTTTAATCGCGTCTGCTTCCACTTCCGGTCCTCACGGTTCTTGCTCCAGACCTCTCTCCTCCACCTGTTGCTGTGTTCACCGCTCACGTCTCTTCCGCTGTCGCTGGGAGCTGCAGTCACATTCTGACTGGCAGACCGCCAGGCCTCCACACCGACCTGGACTCTAGTAGTTGACCCTGGCATCCATGCTGGCCACCAGGAGGTTACTGCATAGGGCTGAGAGTGTGCTAGGCTGGGAGTGTCTTGCTGTCTTCGATCACCGGCCCCCCTCTGTGCTGGTTGATGATGCTCCTAACATGGCCTTCCAGGTGTGCTGGAGATGGCTTGAGCTTGCTGTGCAAAGGGAGGGAGAATAACCGAGGTCCTTTCCTCCCTCCTCTCCTCCCTCCCAAGAGGCTCGTGGCTGCCCTGGACAGTCACACCAGTGTCGGGTGGGGGTGGGGAATCCCACCGGTTGTTGAGGGTCTCACCAGCAAATGTGGATACTGTCATTGACCCAGATTTCAGTGTTGCCGTTGTCACAGCAGACTTAAGGCAACATAGCTGCAAAGTAACTCTTCCCTTGAGGCATCCAGAAACTAGCTTTTGAAGGTGATACTGGTTGATCAGTATGGTGGGCCTTAAACTCTGTGCCAGGATATCCTTTCAGAGGGAGCTCAACCCATGCCCCCCACACCCCCCCACACTGAAATGCGGACAGTCTTACAAAAATGATCAGATCTGCAGTTCTTCAAAACTAGGCAAATGTAGATGAGAGTTCAGCGTTGCTCACCATCAGGCTTTTATTTTGCAAATGGGGCCTGCTGGAAAATGGCCTTGGTTCTTAAGCTTTGTGCCTGAAATGCCTCTGCGGGTGATAAACGGCAGCGATAAGCGGGCAGCAGACATGTTTGACTCCCAGAGGGGGGAACTGGAGAGGCCCCTGCCATCAGCTCCTTTGTCTGCCCGTGCAGGTGCCAAATGATTGATTTCCATAGATTGGATATGGCCTTTCCCCACTCATCAGTCCAAGCATTTTCTCATACTTTGGATGTTCTTTGTTTCAAAACCATACAACTGGCCCATTCACGAGAGGATGAATGCAAATCCTCTTTGTCATAGGAGGGATATTTACTTTTTTTTTTTTTTTTTTTAATTAAAAACCATTCCACAGAGAGAAGCTGCTCACCCAACAGATGTCTCCATCTCCAAAACAGCCTTGTACTCCCGCATCGGGACCAGTGAGGTGGAGAAGCCCGCAGGCCTTCTGTTCCAGCAGCCCGACCTGGACTCCGCACTCCGGATTGCTCGAGCAGAGGTACTTACTGTGCCACGGGTATGGCTCGGGGGAGGCTGGCTTTGGTTGCCCTGGGAAAGCTCTGGTTTCTGCCACATGTAAATGAATATATATATATATATATATATATATATATATATATATGTCTGTATGCATGTATGTATGTACCCACAGTCCACAAGGCCAGCATCTGTGGACACAGTCTTTCTCCTGCAACCACTGTGGGCAGAGGCGTCTTTAGCAAACCGTCTTTGATCTTCCTAGACACCATTGTTTAACAAGCCTCTGTGGCCTTGTTTGATCTATAACAGAAAGCACATGCCTGTAGCTGCTCCCCGGTGGGGCATTGTGTGAGTCTGATATCTGGTTGATTTCTGTCTCATGCTCCGGGAAATTCTCTCAATACAATTATTGTTTGGTGTAGGAAGTTTTAATTCAATGTCTCTTTATCTTGGGTCTGTGAATTGCTCAGATCTGAATTCACACCTCTGGGGCTCACCTCTCTCTTCTCCCTGATGCCAGATCATAACCAAGGAGAGAGAAGTCTCAGAGTGGAAGGACAAATACGAAGAAAGCAGGCGGGAAGTGATGGAAATGAGGTCAGTCGCGATGCTTCCTGGTACCTGGGGATTGCTTACCTGTGGTCTCCTAAGAGCTGGTGCGGTCTACAAACAGTGTCTTCCCAAGACTTACCTGTTCTTCGTAAGACAAGGTTTACATTGGTCGCGGAAGTCTTTTTGGTAATGTTACTGTTATTAAAATATTATGCACCCGAGCTAAATACTGCAAAACAAATACAACGAAAACCAGATCTCTTTCCCACTCAGCCTCCAATTCCATCCCCCTCAGGTAGCTGCTGTCCACTCGTGCTGGGGTATCCTTCCAAGAATTTTCCATTTCTGATTGCAAATGTGTGAATGTGTCCCTATACAGACTCCTTTGTTTTCTTCCAAGGGGGAAATGTAATTATTCTACGCTCTTTTTAACTCAGCAATTTTTTTTTTTAAGATTTATTTATTTATGTGAGAGAGAGGGAGCACAGTTGGGAGGGGCCAAGGAAGAGGGAGAGAGATTCTCCAGTAGACTCCTTGCTGAGCTTGGAGCCCCATGTGGGGCTCGATCTCATGACTCTGAGATCACCACCTGAGCAGAAACCAAGAGTCAGAAGCTCACCCGAGCTTCTACTTAGAAGACTGTGAATTTGGGGACGCCTGAATGGCTCAGTGGGTTAAAGCCTCTGCCTTCGGCTCAGGTCATGATCCCAGGGTCCTGGATCGAGCCCCACATCGGGCTCTCTGCTCAGCGGGGAGCCTGCTTCCTCCTCTTTCTCTCTCTGCCTGCCTCTCTGCCTACTTGTGATCTTTGTCTATCAAATAAATAAATAAAATCTTTTTAAAAAAAAAGAAGAAGAAGAAGAAGAAGAAGACTGTGAATTTGAATCTACTTTTCTGATTCTTTACACAGTTTTTTTTTTTTTTACACTCTTTACACAGTTTTGCCCAGAGGCCTCGCTCCCTCCTTGTCCCATCTGATGCACTTTTTGGCCCTTTATTTTCCTTCATGATTCATCATTATCTTAGAGGCTAAAAAACCATCTCTGGAGCTAGAACTTACTCTTGGGGTGTGATCTTAAAAACTGTGTTGCAAGGGACATTTTTAAAGAAACCCGGCGCAAACCTTTGCTCTCGCCATCTCTCGGGCTCTGGCTGCTTCTGCCACCAAGTCTGAGATTGGCTGCTGGGGGCGCAGCTCAATTTTTGCCCCCGCTGCCTTTCTTCAGCACAGGCTGAAGGGGCACATGGGTTTTCCAGTTGCACGGGAAGATAGGAGTTAGAGCACGATCATTTTCCCAAGACACAAGATCTGGTGCGATGCTGAAAATCTCTGATAGGCTGTTTCCTTTTTAAGTCTCACAGTTTGAAAGTAGGGAATAGATGAATTTTTAAAAATTGGTTGAGGAATGAGTACATTTCTAGTCACTTAACAGCAAGGTGGCTGCTGGTCAATTATCAGAAGCGGCTGTCTTCCTGGCTACTGCTTTAAGGAGCAAACAAATGATTTAGGTAATCCCATCCCATTTTCTAGGTCAAATAGTATCTTCCTGAAAATTCTCCTGTGAGTGCCTTCTTCCTCCTGATGTGTTTTGTGACCACTTCTGGAGGTGACTCTCAGTGGGTCCACACTCACACTCGGGCCCTGTGGTGGCATCATTTGAAAATCTCTCTTTTGTCTTTCTCTCTCTCTCTCTCCCTTTTATGGGGGGGGTAGGGGAGTGGAGGAGGGAGCTGCGTGGCTGTCATTTTTTGCGCGCTCTGGGCATGACAGCGAGGCGTGCTGGGAAGGCTCCAAGTTCCATTTCTGGAGGCTTCGGGGGGCGCTGTTTACCAACCAGGATGGTGGGATTTGGGTCTTGCCAGCTGGCACAGCGGCCCTCGCGTTTGAAGGCCCCCATGTCCACCTCTGGAGCCAGACCCGGCCAGTTGGGCTCGGCCTCCTCGCTGCTGTGGGGTGTGTTCATGTAGCTCTACCTGACCGGCCTCATCTGGGAAGAAGGGTGGATCTCAACACCTCGGGGCTGTGAGGTACTTCGGGGCTGTGAGGCATCTGGGGTGGAAAGGGCTCCAGAGGTGGATGTCTGGATTCGAATCCTAGCTCTGCTCCTTTGTCGATCCTAGAAAGGTTCATGGGTGACCCCGTGCCTCAGTATCCCCATCAGCAATTCTGGGGATCCTCAGGACACCAGCCCTTGGGTTCGCTGTGAGAACACAGTGCAAATACAGCGCCACCAATACACCTCTGGAGCATAGGTCTCCCCCACCACCCCCTCCGTGCGCTGGAAGGACACACCCCTTACCTGCTGTGGTCCCGTCTCTGTCCATGGCAGTGGGGGCTTTAGACCGTGCAGCCTCAAAGGTTCATCACTGCTTTGTGATTCAGGGATACAGGGAGGTATGCTTCTGTGTAGGATTCAGAAAGAACCCAGGTGGGCCCGTGGTGTGGTCCCCTTTTTTGTTGTGGGTCAGCCCTTGAGTGAGACACTGTCCTTTTAATTTAAATTCAGTTAGGCAGCATCTAGTACATCATTAATGTCAGATGTAGTGTTCCCCAATAATTTATCAGTTATGTGTAACACTCAGCGCTCCTGCTGGCTTAGTCAGTAGAACATGTGACCCTTGATCTTGGCGTTGTAAGTTCAAGCCTTAAGGGGCACCAGCCTAGCTTACTGCCCCTTTTAACCTCATTTAATTCTCCCTCCAGCCCTGTTGGTCCTGACTCTGTTGGTGGTTAGCAGTTCTTGGTTCTCTTATGGAGAATAACTAACTCTTGGATAATGTAGGTGAAACCCTTGAGTTTTTTTGAGAGTTTTCTTCCAGAAGGTTGACTTCGGATAGAGGGCTTCTTCACGCCTGGGTCTTTCTGCCTGGGGGCAGCAGTGAGGCAGTCTTACAAGCAAGGGATCTTCATGCTTTTGTGCAGCTACAGTTTGTTGAAGCTGTCCAAAAAGTGCTATCTCCCCATCACCCCGCCCCTGACACAGGTGACTAAGTAGCGGCCCTGGGCCTTGAGGACCTTCTTCTTCTTGTGTACTGTGACACCAGATGTGTGAGGTGTTTTAGAAGAGTCAGATAAAATGTCATGCATTTCAGAGGAGAAATCGGGGAAGGCTTCCTGGAGGAAATAGCATTTGAATTGGGCTTTGAGGAGTAGCTAAGACAATGAAAGTTGGAAATAGAGCAGGGAAGGTCATGACAGCAAGAAACCCCGGAGCCAAGAAAAACTCATTTGTTCTCATGGAACCACTCTGTTCATGATGGCAGGGAAGGAGGTAAGCTTGATGAGAGTGATCAGGCTCGGGTTGTGGAGGGCTTGGTTATCAGGCTGAAGGGGTGGGTCTTATTTTTTTTCTCAGTGGGCAGTGGAGACACATTGAGGGTTTTGCACCGGGTGTGGTGTGTTCAGAGTCCTGCACTAGGAAAATGAACCTACTTGGGTGTGGAAGAAGAGAGTTGAGGTTGGAGGTGAACCTAGAGGGGTAAGCCAACTATGACAAATAAATAAGACTTGACCTCTAGTGTCTTGGTCGGGCTGCTGCTGTCCAGCGCATGAGCTCTAGTGTCAATGAGAAACCGTCCTGTTGTCATGGTCCCGATATGTTTTTGTTTCTTTTACAGGAAAATAGTGGCAGAGTATGAGAAGACCATCGCTCAGATGATAGGTGGGTGTTGTGACGGGTGGGCTCAGCCCTCCCCTAAGCTTCTAACCTATGGGCTGGGCTTTGAAGTTAGACTTTCTGCATGTGTTCATCTTGGGCCCCTCTTAGAGCATGAAGTCCTTCAGGGAGAGACCAAAGCATCCCAGAATGTGAGCCTGGGGGCCTCTTGGAAACACACGCGAGCATGTCCCTTAGCGTTATTCATGCCTGTGGGAAGCCATGGCGGTCACCTCCAAGGCCACCATTGAGCCTCATGGGGAAACAGATTTGGGTCAGTTCCTCGTACATTTGAGGGGAATTTTTTGTTCATGGGAGAGACTAAGAATCAAATCCCTCAACTCTGATTTAGACTCAAGTGACAAAATCCTCAGCCTTACGCAGGGTTCTCGGGCAAGGATGGGGGACCCATGTCAGCGCTGCTGCCCGCCCCACCTCTCCCCTCCCTCCTGCGATTTACCTGATCTCACGGAGATGGACACAGACTCAGAATCCATCTTAACCCAGATTCCCTGGAAGCCAGTACCAACGCTGCCTTGGTCTGCACTAAAAGACGGCCTCAAGTCACGAGTTATACCCACCTGACTCTTTTTTAAAAAATAATGATAATGAGATGAGATCCTGCAGAAGTTCTACGCCTGTTTTTACACTGAAGATCACTGTTGAAAAATGATGTTATGACCTGGCAGGGGGGTGGCAGCGTGGAGATACTTGTTTCTCTATTTAATTTGCTGCTTAGGTCCGTGATACCAGTTTAAAAAAAAAAAAATTCACTCCTACAGACTTCGGAGTAAAAAAATCCCAGCTCTCCGCAAACCAGTTTCTGTGTTGAAGCTGGATGCTGGGTTAACGGAGGACTCCTCTCTCTCAGACGTTTGGATACAAGTCACACCACACCTCTGGCTTGTCCTAGAATAAATATGAGAGCAGGCTTGGGAATGGTGAAGAGGCCGACAGCTGAGTGCTTTCTATTCAAAGGGGCTTTAATTTTGATGTATTATAATAAAGGCCATTTCTCCCAGATCTCAGAGAAGGCCCGTTGGGGTATTCCTAAGGATCAGCTCGTGGTATATGCTTTCTATCAAATGAAGCCTCTTTATTAAATCGGTATAAGACTTTATGAATACATATAGATGAGATAAAAAATGCAACTCTTGGAACCAAAACTGCCTGTAAACGTAGTCAGGGAGAAGGATTTATGCCTTCCAACCTACCGCGTTTGACGCGCCGAGCACAGCCTTTGGCCTCCTGGAGTCTCGGGTTGTGCAAATGCCCCCAGACCTACAGTGGCTCATCTGGAAAGAGCTTTCCGCGTCTGAGTTCGATGCTGCTATTTTTGCTCTCGGTGAGGACATCTGGGCCAGCACTGGGATGGGGGTACAAGGGCACGAGCCTCTGCCCCTGCGAGAAGGCTGCCCAGAGCTGTCGGTTATGCCTCCACCGACAGTGTGGAGCTAAGCAGACGTTCCCTCTTGAAAACCAAAGAGCAGGCTGTGTCTGCCTGGCGCAAGTGGTCTGTCCCTGTTGGACAGAAAACACGATTCGGCTCTGATTCCCTCCTAGCGTATTTGCAGGTGAGAGTAGTTGGAAGAACGCTGAGTGCGCGGAACCCTGACTCCTGCGGTTGGGGCCACGCACGCCCACCCTCAGCGCCCCAGGCCCCTCCCCCCAGGAGACCTGGTATGTTTGGCCCGAGGGCCCCTCGCAAGAGCTGTGATCTCACCCCTCCGAGCATTTTCCTGTTTAGGGGTGTTTGAGCACTCCCGACGGCTCCGGGAGACCCCTCCAGCGTCCCCAGCGGCAAGTGGCACTGTCACTCTGGGAGTGGGACAGCAGCTGTCCGCCCCCGGTTCCCCATCCTCATGTACCTCCAGTGTCGGCATCAACCACTGCTCACGCCTTGTCCATCAGGTGGCACGTCCGTGGCTGTCATCCCGCCAGTCACCACTGCAGGGCATTGATGAGGGCTGCCGCAGGTTTTGAGGTCCTCGTCACCCTGTAAAAGGACAGCATGGGGCTGAGGCACTGCAGGGACTCGCTGTCGCTGTGGGCAGCACCTGCCTCCTTTCTGGGTGGGCCGTGAGTCTCTGTATGTGGAGGTACATCCACGTGGCTCTTGGGTCCCTTGTCTCTTCTGGTTTTCGCCCTGGTTGAGAGGGAAAACTCAGACCCCAGGAGCTTGACAGTTGAGGGCGGGATGAATGTCAGTAGCCCTTTTGAAGTTAAAACCAGGTTCCACCCCACCTCCACGAGCTCCTCCTGGTCCTGCCCGGCTCTCTGGCCTTCATGTAACCCTTGCAGACGTCCCACGCCAGCGTGACATCTGTCCTGCCATCATCGTCTGCTCTCGTGCCATGTTACTAAACCGAATTCGAATACTGACTATTTAGGATTCAGAACGAAGAGAGACCTCTGTGCTTTTGGCATTCCAGGTTGTTGCAATTGATTTTTTTTGTCTGCTTTCCTAACAACTGCTCTGATTCTCTGTTTTGCTTCCATTTTCTGTTGCTTCTTGCCCTTTGCTTGCAAAACAAACAGGCAAGCCTGGTAAGTAAATGCTTTTCACCTCATTTGACACCGGCCCATTGCATCCCATGTTGGTTGGTTGGTTTCTGTTTTTGTTACTTTTGCTCTTGTGTATTTGCTGCATTTCTCCCCCATCCCCCCACGTGGTTTAATCATATTTTGCCTGAAAAAGCCAGAAACCTCTCCAGGGGCATTGTTTTGTGGTTGAGGCTAGAGCCTTTGGAGTTCGGGGCTGATTTCCTGATTTGAAGAACCTGACTGCATTTGTAATTTACAAAAATTGGCGATGCAGCCGCACCTCCTTGGTATCCTGGGAACCGGGAAATTCTATTTTTACAAACGTTTATGGGGAGGACAGGAAACCTGAGGCAGGCTGAGTCTCAGATCCAGGAAATCAGATGGACTCCGTGTGATAAATGGCTCTTTTCGAGCCAAGTGAAATGTATACATGGCCTCAGATCAGCCCAGAATGCGCCGAGGACTAAGGAAGCAGTTGAAACCCAAAGAATAAATATAAGCATTGGGTTGCGAGTGAACCTTTGAAGCGTCTTTTCTGCGGGGAGCCTAGGAATGGCAAGCCGGCCGCTGGCAGTTCGGTTCTCACTGTGTGTTAAAAGCTCCCCCTTTGGAAGTCACTGTAGTAGGACATCACGCCAGTTTGGGGGAGACAGTGATGCTGTCAATAACGGGTCACTGATCCTGGGTTCTTACTATATATTGAAGGCTTTATATACATTTTCATGTCCTCTTTCCCCAAATGCCATGAGAGAAATACCATGAACCTCTCTTTCAGCTCTGGAGGCTGAAACTCAGGGAGGTTACAAACTCTGCCCAGGGTGGCCAGGCCGGGAAGTGTCAGAGCCAGGATGGAACCGGGGCCGTCAGGGTCTGGCTCCTGGGTCCTCCACCTCCGTCTTGGTAGCAGGAGCTCCGAGAGGCAGGGGTGGAGGTTACATCAGGCATCTTCTGGGCCCTTGACTCTCCAGGCGTTTCCCCAAGACCCGCTGCTTCAGTGTCATTGGGGAAGTTGTCCCCCATGCAGAGTCTCGGCCCCACCGCACACCTGTCAGACTGGAACCCAGGATGTGCCCCCCACCCCACCCCCATTCTGGGCACTTCCCTCCACAGCATGCGGCAAGAATAGGTCTAACTTCAGGACACAGGACAATGTCTATCAGGAATCTAAGGGAAAGAACCCAAAGCAGCAGCATCCTGCTTTTTTTTTCTTTTAAAAAGTTTTTATTTAAATTCCAGTCTGTGAACACACAGTGTGAAATAGTTTCAGGTACAAGATGGTGATTCAGCACTCGGTGCAGTGGCCGGTGCTCATCACAGGTGCTCTCCAGCCACCTCCTGCTTCTAAGGGAGCTCGGGGGAGAAATGTGGTCATGAGCGCGGCTTGGGGTTTGGATCAGGCTCCGTGGCCGGGCTCCACTCCATCATTCCCAGCATGGATGTGTTGGGGTATCCTGTGACTCAGGCACTGTCCTAGACTGTAGGATAGAGAAGTGGACAAAACAGACTCCTGCAACGTGCATTCTGGGCAGACAGCACGCTTGCACGTCTGGCCGTTGCTAGCGAGAGAATGGACTGGAAAGTAAGGAGGAGGTGTTCCCCGTGGGTGCTCGGGAAGGCTCCTCTGGGGAGGTGGCCCAGTGTCAGGGACTGGAACGAGTGAGCTCTGGGACTGCTGAGCCCTGGGGCAGGACTGCCTGGGGTGTGCCGGCCAGCATAGCTGGAGCAGGTGGAGCTAGAGTTTAGATTTTATTTTATTTTTTATTGGTTTTAAATATTTTATTTATTTGAGAGAGAGAGCACAGAGAGAGAGGGAGAAGCAGACTTCCTGCTGAGCAGAGAGCCCAATGTGGGGCTCATCCCAGGACCCTGAGATCATGACCTGAGCTGAAGGCAGAGGCTTAACCTTAAGACTGAGCCACCCAGGCGTCCCTGGAGTTTAGACTTCATTCCCAGTGCGCAGGGAGGACCCCGGGGTGGGGGGCGGGGCTCTGAGCTGGAGCCTGGGAGGTGACTAGGTTTGGACTTAAGTTCAGTTTGGTGCCCAGCGCTGGTCTAGGAGCATGACATGAGTAGAACAGGGAGCAGGGCCCCAGACACGTGCAAGAGCTGGGTGGGCCCTGGTTACTGCTGTTAAGTCTGTCATTTCCAGAGCGATCTGCCCTTTGGCAGCCAGCCCCTGGAGGCAGTCCTGGGCCGCAGGATCCCCGCCCAGGTGACCTGGGGCTGATGGAGGGACAGCTCTGCAGAGTTCCTTCCCCCCAAGAGCTCTGAGCGGGGTCTTCTCCTCCCCACACTGTCCAGTGCAGGGTCCCCAGGGGTCCAGACAGATGGGAGCAAAAGGTTCCTCTCCCACCCAGACAGGAGACGAACGGGTCAGCACACAAAAGATCGTGCCATGTGGGTGAGGGTCCTTCATGTGACGTGGGCAGAGAAGGCCTCTCCCATAAATGTAAACTGGTAGCAAGCCGTTTGGGGGAGAGTGTCAGCGGGTGGCGGCCCAGAGAGTTGGGGTCGGGGACAGAGTGGTCCTTTTACTAGGATCAACCACTCTGAACTGGGCCAGAATTAATTCTCTTGTATGTAACTGAGAAACTCCCTTTGGCAGAAAGAGCTCCATTTTTTCTCCGAGCTGACATTTGCTGTATCAAAGGAAATGTCCATTTTCTGGGCGAAGCAGAGTTTCAGGGCTGTGATGTGGGCTTCGGTTTGTGGGATGTTTTCAGGATGAAGAAACCTTTTTTGTTTCCCAACAACCATCTCTTTACCTTGATCACACACAGAAAGGACTGCTCCCCGGAGCTCAGACTACCGCACCTTGTAATCTTGGTCATCTCAGAATTCAGTCTGATGTCCCCCCTTACGGATCTATTTGTTGCCATCAACCAGACTCCCTGGGGCCTCGAATGTAGATTCTTAAGGGTCTGCAGCGATCAGGTTCAAGATCCGTGGCTAGTTTCCATCCCGTCTTGCACTGCAAGGGCCCAGCCCTGGAATGCTGGGGCCGCAGGTGTCGTTCCCTAGAAGCAGAGTCTGGGTGGGCTCGGAGGTGGGTCTGTCCCTAGTCCGGGATGCCCTGCTGCTTGGACATCTTTTGAGTTGGGTATAAGGCCCCGGCTGCCCCCAAGACCGGGTTGGGAGCCCCCGGCCCCATTGTGTGGATCCTTGTGTCTCTTGACAGAGGATGAGCAGAGGGAGAAGTCCGTCTCCCACCAGACTGTCCAGCAGCTGGTCCTGGAGAAGGAGCAAGCTCTGTCCGACCTGAACTCTGTGGAGAAGTCTCTGGCCGACCTCTTCAGGAGATACGAGAAGATGAAGGAGGTCCTTGAGGGTTTCCGCAAGGTGTGTTCATGTCGGGGCAGAGCGGGACGCTGGACGGGGGTTCAGAGAAGTGGGAGCAGGCTGGGAGATGGTACAGGTACCAGGACTTGGCGGTCCAGCGTTCAGCAGGTATCAGGGAGTTCTCGGGGCTCCCAGCACCTGGGGTGTTTCTTCTGTGGGCTCAACCTCTGTCCTCTGTCCCGTCAGAATGAGGAGGTGCTGAAGAAGTGTGCCCAGGAGTACCTGTCCCGCGTGAAGAAGGAAGAGCAGAGGTACCAGGCCCTGAAGGTGCACGCGGAGGAGAAGCTGGACAGGTAATGTGGCCCCTGGGCAGCCCCCAGAGGCCTCTCAGCAGCCCCGCAGGCCAGGCGCTCCCATGGCACCGCTCCCACTGGCTGGGGAAGGGTGGATAATCCATTTGTGTTTTTCAGGGTGACTTGTGATAAGAGTGTCCTCTCAGCATTTTGATAAGCGGAGGACACATGTAATTTCCAGGACACCCACCCAGAGCACCTCCACATCACGGGAATGGGGTTGGCGTAGGGGGTGCTCGTGGGCTCCTGAACCAGGCCCCCCGTGGTAGGAGCTGCAGGCAGACAGTGCCTGCTGCCCAGAGCTGGGAGGAGGAAGGTGGGAGGGGTCTACAGGGGAGGTGGGTCATTTCTGAGCACCCCCAACCCTGTTTCCTCAGGGCCAACGCCGAGATCGCGCAGGTCCGAGGCAAGGCCCAGCAGGAGCAGGCTGCCTACCAGGCCAGTCTGCGGAAGGAGCAGCTTCGTGTGGACGCGTTGGAGAGGACGCTGGAGCAGAAGGTAACAGCCGAGGGCGGGGTGGGGGGGCGGAGGCCTGAAGGCGGTGGGGGTCTGGCCAGAGCCTCAGATAAGCAGAGGCCGGCTCTCCTGTGTGCTCTGCAGCTCCCGGGACAGGTTTAGACCTTGGGAGCCTATGCTTGTCCTCCCTCTAGAAGATCCTGTGTAATGCCAGCCCCAAGGCTGTCCTCCTTCCTGCCTGTCCTGGAATTGCTGTCTGCTCCCAGGTTTAGGGCCGGTGTTCATTCCTTGTCCAGGTTTCACCCGTCACACATTCACTGAGTATCTGCAGCGTGCCAGAGTACTTTACCCCGTACCCAGCATGCTTACTGCTCAGGGAATGGGGTAACCCCCAGGCCACACTGGGGTCAAAAGGGTCCCTAGACGTCCTCCTGCGTCCATGGATGGGGGAACCCTCCAGCTTGTCCTGATTTCCGGTCTAGCGCCCAGTGTACCACACACACCCTCTCTCTGGGTGTCCGAACAAGAAGCCGCTTCCGCCCAGCAGTGCTGCGGGAGCCTGAATCCAGATTATAGCGGGCCTGGCAGCCCCCTTCCCTAAGTGTGTTTCTAAAAAGGGAGTTTCCAGAGAAGCGACCGCATCCTGGTTGGTTTACTGAGTCTTAGGAGTCCCTTGGATGGTAATCGGAGAGTCTGGTGGCCTGGGGTAGTGTTATTTCTCGTGCATTTGGACCTTAAAGGGCAGTCATGGTTGGGGGGGATGATGTCCTTTGTAGACAGATGGCATCTGAAGTCCAGCGTATCTCCCCGATGGCCTCTGCTCACCCAGAAGTGCCCAGCAGCCTCTGGCCCTTTTCCTGTGCCCCTACCCAGCCAGGTTCCATGGGGACTGACCGTGGTCCCAAGGTGGGTTTGGGCCAAGCATTGGGCACATAGTATCTCTCAATTCACCTAAATGATGTCAGGGACTGAGCCCTGGGACTCAGGAGCCCCAGCCCTACCCCCCTGCCGTCCGTTATAACCCTGAGCAAGCCTCACACTTGACCTCAGGTTTTATGGGTTTGTCATGTTGGAGGCTGAAACCTGAAGACCGGGAAGAGTCCCTCGAAAGGGAAAGAAGGGAGGAGGCGGGACTGTGTCAAATACGCCGGATCTCTTCGACTGCCTAGGTCTTCCCGGCTCTGAGCCTTGTTCAAGCAGCAAGCCCAGAGCCGGGGCTGTCAAACAGGAGCGTTGCTCATCCCATCGGTATTTAAAGTAAGGACCACCTTCCCCCATCATTTCGGGCAGCAAGGCAGTGAGCTGGCAGCACATGTTTCCAGGTGAGAAAGGCAGCGGTGCGTTTGTTCCCTCCCGGTTCCGTCAGGATCTGATGGTGTTTGAACTGCATCCCGGTGTTCACTGAAATAATAGAGCTAAACCCGGAGTCAGGGTAGATGTTTTCTGGGCAACCTGGCCTGTTCAGACCCTTCCAGTCGCCGGACGAAGGCGACACTGAGTATTCTGGGCAACGGAAAGACAAAGAAGCAGGCAAGGTGGCTTGCGTGGTTTTGGAGAACAGAAAAGATACAAACAGGTCTGCAAATATAATTCTGTCTTAAACCGAAACCGAGGAGCAATGGGTTCGTCACACACGTTCTCCCTAAAGGACTCTGAGTGGTACAGAGGGGTCGGTCTCTGTTTTAAAGAGATTCAGAAGTATGACTCCCCCCACCAGGCTGTCCTTAAGTGGGGGCGCTGGGCATTTTGCCCAGTTGGGGTGCTGGAAACCCAGGGAGCTGAGCTGCGCGATAGCCGTGTGCGGGGCGGTAGGCTGGCACGCCGAGATGGAGCTTGGAGAACCTCCAGGAGTCCATAGCTGGTGGGTCTGACAGTCCCTCTCAGCCATCAGTCGCTGGATGTTATGTTTAACGAGTAAAACAGCAAAGCCATCCAGGGGCCGGGCCAGCCTGACTTCACGCTCCGGGCTTGCCGCTTCTGACTGGCTGTGTGACCTTAAATTAAGCACAATTCTCAACCTGAGTCTTGGTTTCTCACTGGAAAGTGGAAATATGAGGGGGTCCCATGAAGGGTCTGTTGTGAGAGCTTAGCAGGGCCAGTGCCTGGGGCGTGGTTAGCTTGGTGACCGGCACACGGGAGGTTGAAAAGTCCCCATCAGCTGCTCCAGCAGATGTCGTCGTGGCAAGAGTCCTTCCAGAAGTCACAGTTAGAGCCGCGTTCCCGCAGAACGTCTTCCAGCAGACGTTTCAGTTCCTCACAGAATCGAGCCTCTTGGAGCTGGAGACTCTAGAAGGATGTAAGCCAAGCTGCTGTTCCAGGTGTTTCTCTTCCGGCGGGGCTGGTGGCTGCACTGCAGTGAGGACTGCGTTCCTCTTCTACTGGGGACTTCCCGGCTCTTCCCAATACGGACACAGTCACGGGTGGTGCCCGGAGCCCAGCCTGGAAACACAGGACACATGGTTCCGGGCGGGACCGTGTCTCAAGAAGTTTCCACAGTTTCTAAGGAAGGGCATCAGTACAGTCCCAGGGGAGAGGGCTGTGGCTAAGACTCACCTTCTGCAGGGACCTCAAAAAACTGACTGCAGTAGGTTCCTGGGATACCAGAAAGATCTAGCCTCTTTGAAGAGCACTGTTCGACACTGGTGGTTGAAGCGGATCTGCATCGGAGCAAAGCCTGACCTGCCTCGGAATGGACTCAGCCCTTTGGATCCCAGTACTTAGAGCGTCGACGGTGTTTCCAGATCGTTGGTGCGAGATGAGCGTGTGGTTGGCTTCCCTTGCTTCCGGGCATGGGCAGGACCTGGCGCAAGGAGCACCTGACGTCATCTTTCATCTACCCCCATCTCCCTGCTCGACTCCCCTGTATCCACAGCACCCCCTCATTGGGGGTCCTCTAAATAATGCCAGCAACCCTATTCAAGTAGAATCGCTTACCCCTCCTGGTGGTTTCTCAAGTTTCTCAAGTAAACCACCCAAGAGCTCACCCGGGAGCAACCTTTTGTGTCCACATCCTTCGGAGGCAAATACAAGCGAACCCAAACCAGTGAAGCCTTTGTCCGGCACTGGTCACTGTGCTCGGGAGCTTTATTTACCTTCCGACCTCACTCCCTTCTCAGAGAGAGAGAGACGCCATCCTCCACATGGTAGAGATAAGGACACCAGGGCTCAGAAAGGTTGTGTAACTTGCTCAAGGTCACAGCTAGAGTTGGGATGTGTGCTTAGATGATGTGTGTCCATGTCGCTTCTCTCCCTGCGTTAGATAATTTTAGGGGGGACCCAGAAGCCTGGAGGGCCCCACACCCCTGAAGAGCCCAAAGCTCATTCCGATGGGCTTGATTTCCAACAGCAAGGAGATTCAGCAACCTCTTTCTTTTTTGTCTTCACTTTCAGAATAAAGAGATAGAGGAACTCACCAAGATTTGTGATGAACTGATTGCCAAAATGGGGAAAAGCTAACTTTGAACCAAATGTTTGGACTTGACCCTTGCGTGCAATATGACCGTCGGCTCCCTGCTGTCCCTCCGGTTACGTCGGACAGGCTCTGTCTTCACTTTTTCGTATGCACTACTGTATTTCCTTTCTAAATAACGTTGATTTGATTGTATGCAGTACTAAGGAGACTATCAGAATTTCTTGCTATTGGTTTGCATTTTCTTAGTATAAATTCATAGCAAGTTGACCTCAGAGTTCCTGTATCAGGGAGATTGTCTGATTCTCTAATAAAAGACAAGTCGCTGACCTTGGCCTTGCCCTTTGTACATGAGTTCCCAGGGTGAGTGTCTTTTGGATTTAACATGAACATGTACAGCTTACACAGGGACTCTTGCCTTAAGGAGTGTAAACTTGATCTGCATTTGCTGATTTGTTTTAAAAAAAAATGCATGTTTCGAATAAAATTCTCTATTGTAAATAAATTTTTTTTTTCTTTGGATCTTGGCAATACGTGTGGTTATGATTTCTTTTCTGGGAAGGGTTGAGTCTTTTCTGGCCTTTGTTAAAATCGTATCAGATCTGGCCCTTCCCTCTTCTCTGTCTGGCTCCCTTCTTTGTCCGGGGGCTTCAAGAACATTTCCTTCGTTATCGTGGCTGCTCGTAAGATGGAAGCTAATGGGAAGGTTCGACTTGCTGCTTAAATGGTTAAGGGGGTGTTTTGAATTGGCGCAGGTTTTGTTTTTACAAAGCCTCTCTGAGTTGCGGCAGGAATGTCTATTTCCCTTTACTGGGTCGAGGAAGTGGCAGGCTGTCCCTCTTCCTGTGTGTTCCTTAGCGTGTGACCATCAACACGGAAATGTTGCCCAGTTCCCTCTAACAGACCAGGCCCGGGCGAGTGGTTTCCCGTGGGAGACATAGCGAGGCCGAGCCGGAGAGGAAATTGGGATGCGCCCGCCCTTAGATTCTTTAACTGCTCCTCACCTTAGGGCCCCCAAGCTGACAGGCGGGCGTCACTGGGGGGCAGTGAGAGGGTGGGAAGATGTCTTCGTTTCCTAGGACTGCCACAACATCACATACTCAGAAGGAGAAATGTTTTCTCTCACAGTTCCAGAGGCCAGAAGTCCCAGATCAAAGTGTCTTTGGGGTTTGCACCCTCCGCTCTACCCTCCCCCACCCTCCCCCCACTCTCCTCTCCTACTTTCTCCCCTTCTCTCCCCCCTTCCCGCCCCCACTCGCCGAGGCTCTGAGGTAGAGCCTGTTCCTTGTCCCTCTCGCAGCTTCTGGATAGTGGCCGGCAGTCCCTGGCATCCTGTGGCTGGTGGCTGCGTCACTCGTGTCACCTCTGTGCTCAGCTTCCTCTCCCTTCCCTTGTAAGGACACCGCTCTCTGGATTTCAGGCCCACCACAAATCCAGGATGATCTCCTCCCCACATTCTCAATTACATCTATGAAGACTCAGTTTCCACAAAAGGGCACACTCGCCGCTAGCGGTGCTCGGTGCTGGAGGCGTTTTTGTGCCCCCCCAACCCCAAGTGTGCCAGTGGGGGGTGTGGTGTGCAGCATGAGCTTGGAAAGCAGCCCTGAGCCCCTGGTGCCCTCAGCTCTGGGTGCCCCTCCTCGGGCCCAGCCACCGTGGCTGTGGGTTGTGCCCCTCACGTGGGACCCCGTGATGCCTGGTGGGGCAGGTACCCCAGGCAGCACAAGGAAAGAAGGACAGCCCGTTTCTTGTTCCCCCTTGAACCCCACCTGGCAGGGACCCTGAAATGGCCAAGGGTTGGCCTCCTTCCAC